GCCGGTTGTCCGGATAGCAAATACCACCTAGGTACGTTGACTGGCTGCTTCTCATTGTTTCCGAATTTGCCGAACCGAAACGGAGCACACCCCCACCACCACCACTTAGAAAAATTGCCTTCAGGTAGTTAAGTTTCAAATTTAATGGCTCCTCAATTTTCCTCAAAAATATAATCTTCAAAAAAAAAAAAAAATGCTAACAGGCAGAAAATAATTATCTAATTTGACATTGGTCTCGTCTATCACTTAATTTCACTTCCGCTCTGTTAGTTTTACAAATGATTATAAAATTTTATCCTCAAAATTTTCAGCACATCTTGTAAATACTTTTAAAAAAATTCGCATTAAAATTCCTTTCACAAATGTAATTATTTGTAAGAAATATTCTTAAAAGGGTTATATATGTAAATTGTTAAAATTCGCCAGAAAGCGAGCCAGAAAGTAAATTACAGACACACGTTTCAAAAACACCGTAATTTCGTAATGTAACCTTTTGTATATATATATATATATATATATATATATATATATAAACGATCCATGGACTTCATTGTATCCGTTAAAAAAGAGAATGAAGATTATAAAAACGTTGAAGGTTTCGAAGGGGCAGTCATCAATTCGCTCCCGTAAGGGGAAGTAACCTTCCCCCACCACGCGGCCGGAGGCCTGCGTTCGAGTTTCGGAGCGAAGGTAGCACCGCGGGGAGCCGGGTCCCTTAATCCCTCATTAAGAAGATTTCCTTAATGGATTTTCTTTAAAAAAAAAAAATTCTTTAATATTAGTATTTTTAAGTTTTTATTATTAGATTCGGAATCCTTATTTAATTGCGAATTTGTGCATATGTTGTTTGCATTAAAAATGTTAATTTTTAAAAAGTTTATAATTATATCATCACCTTTGCTAATCCTTTTCAATTTAACAGAAGATAGGAATTTTAATATTTTATATATTATCATTTTTAAAAATTATTTCATGTTCTATTTAATTTTTTATTGTAAATTTTCAAAAAAAAAAATTCCAAATTAACTAGATAAATTTTTTATGAATTTTTTTAAAATTATATTTCTTCTCTTTATATATGTATTATAGAAGAAAAAATTCAAAAACTTTTCTGGCAATAATAAACTCTTGGATGTTTGTTACAATACTTAATTAATACTTAAATAATTAATTGAAATAAAATTTATTTGATTTAAGTAAATATTTATTTGATAATAAAAGAGTTATCAGCGATTTGAATAAAATAACATTTCTTGACTTTTTCGTAATCGTTTATTTGTAGGAAGAAAGATATTTAGAAAATGTTCGAATTATAAACTTTTTAAATATCAACATTTTCAAGTCAAACAACATATGTATGAAATTGTAATAAAGTAAGGATTTCGAATTTGATAAAAAAAACTTAAAAATGTTGTTATTTAAAAAATTTATTTATATGTAGAAAAAGCCATTAAGGAAAACTTGGAAAATCTAATTTATGAGGGATTAAGGGACCCGGCCCCCCGCGGTGCTAGTTCGCTCCGACACTCGAACTCGCGCCTCTGGCCGCGTGGTGGGGGAAGGTTACTTCCCCTTACGGGAGCGAATTGATGATCGCCCTTTCGAAGAGATCATATTTTCATAAGTTATAAGATCATCAAAGGAAGAGTGAAATTCCCCGGGTCTTTTTCAACCCACTCTTTGTCATCAAGGACCTCCTGGAGCGACAGAGGAGTATGCTTGTGAGAAAGTAGCAGTAATGAATGCAGAAGTCGTCTCGTATTTGTCTTTCCTTTTTCTTTTTTTATTTTTGCCTGTCTTCACAAATTACTGATTTTATTCCCACCAATCTCAACTTGAAATTTGCGACAATAATTTCCAATAATTTAAATTATTTAAAATTCCCAAGGGAAAAAGTTAGCAAATATTGTTATTTACCAATTTGTTATTAAAAAAATTTGTAAATTAAAAAATAAAAAATATTTGATTTTGTATAGTTAAAAGCCTCTCTTTTGTATAGAATCGATTATAACATTGAATCAGTGAAAAATAAATCGATTATTGCCTGTCTATTATACCGCAAAGGTAATTTCATCATTGATCGGTTCACTGATCATCAGAGGTAATGATGAGTAATAATTACAGTTTCTTGTCAGGTATAATTACAGAGATTCTCCATAAGCGCAATAATTTTATGTTTCATTATAAAGAAAAGAGAAAATAAACATTTTACAGAAATTATTTCAAGCGCCACGTGTTTACACAAAAAAATTTTTTTTTTTAATTTGAAAAAAATTGCTATTAGAAAATTTTAAAATACAAATTTCAAATTCACTTCTTCAATTGAGCTGCCGGATCAAAGAAGGGCACATAACCCATTTGAATTACATTAGTTATGTGCCCTTCTTTGATCCGGCAGCTAAATTATTAGTATTTATTTATCAATATTAATTATTTTATTTATCCTTAATTTTTTAATTACTCTGCAATTTTATAAAGTACAATAAACAAATTGGTAAATTGGAAATAGAATTATTTGATTAGAATGGTTTTAGCCCATTTTTCGAAATATGCTTTTTTTTCTATGTCTAAAACACACATTTAGAAATGGGACGGAAATGGCAAAGCGTTTTGCCGGCAAATAAATCACTTGAGAGAGTCAGAGGCGCCTGGAAGTCGGAAAAGATGAGATCGTAGAGATTTCGGCAGTGTGTTGCAGATCTCTCTCTCTCTCTCTCTTTCTCTTGCATTTCTCAGCACTATCCTCTCTTGTTTAGTATACAGGAAAATTCTCAGTATTCAGGAAAAAGTGATGCTATCCAACTTGTATTTCAAAAACCGGTTCGATTTCACCTGTATTAGCTTCTTTCCTCACGGGGTGTGTAATTTAAAATCATTTTAATTGCATTTAGCGCAGACACGAAGAAAAACTATTTTTTTTTTTTTTGAAACCAAAATTAAAAATCGAAAATATTATATCAATAACTAACGAAATTTATTCTTTTTGTTTCAGGTAAGTTCACCGTGTATTTTGCAAATCAAGGTTCTCGTGAGTAAGAAAAAAAAAAATTTTTTTTAGAAGAGTACAAAAATCATATAAACGAGAGATCATAAAAAATTTATGAAATTCTCTCGCAGAGAAATCCGCTCTCTTGTATAAAACAAGTTTTCTTTATGATGATAGGTATTTGTGTAACCGAATTTTTTTCTGCAAACAAAATTCGTTCGACAAGAAAACATGATATTTTCTGCGATTATAAAAGGGAGAAAAATAAAATAATACAAATTTTTTTTTTTAAAAAAAAAAAGGGGTTGAGGAAAACTCGGAAAGTGTATTTCAAGTTGACATTGATGGAAACGCCTGTTATGTATCATTTCCGCTTGACAGTGAGTTGTGTGTGACGCACGCACAAACGGACGCATAAAGACATTAAAAGGGGTTCCATGCCATACGGTGGCCAATTCGAATTTACGTTCCGAATTACGGTCACTCTCCACAGACACCTGTTCATTTTGCTGCTGCCTTATAGTCTGAGGAATGCCTATGACGAAACAAGAGAGGAGAACAAACAAACAAAAAGAAAAAAAAACTGAGCGAGTAGATTCGAAAGACCCCTCCTGGGCAATCACGCACTGCTCTCGCGAGTTTATATATATATATATAGTACAGGCCGGATCCTCGAAAGTTTCTCGGCAAAAGATTCGTGAGAACCTTACTGGACAGGTTTCGACGGGAATCACTTTTTTTGCTAGATTTAATTCGGTAGTAATTAACGAATAACGATAATTTCGCAATGGGGCGGAACGTGTGTACTACCGAAAGAAACCCTATATGAAAAAGCAGAATGGAATTCATTCTATAATTGTTGTCAGGAATTTAATAATTATATACTTATTAAATTCCTATATTGATCATTTTTTTTATTATTCAACAATTTTAAATTTAAATCGTCACTAATTGCATTCGATTTAGAATTTTATGCATTATTTTTCTAGATTATCACTATATAAATAAAATTCCTATTTCGCCTAACGGCAATATTATTAATTTAGCAAAATTTTAAATCATAAAAAAACATTTCTTAAACTATACTCTGTTCCAGGAGAGATCGATATTTTTCTGCGCATCTTGTTGTAAAAGGATGTATTTTTAAGTGAAAAAAGCGTTTTCTAGATTTTTTTCGAAAAAACATAGCCAATGATATGAAAAGGATTGTAACATGTGTTGCTTTTTCTATAACTAAAATCAAGCAAACATTTAAAATTTTTGTGACCTGCGAGCCTGGTCTCCAAAAGGCAGTCGGAAGGGTCTTTTATGCTTTTATGGCTTTTCATTGCAAAATTAAAAAATTGTTGGAATTTAAAAAAAATAATTGTATAAATATTATATTTGCAATGTACGCAGGTTAAAACAATTACAACGGTATAAAATTTTTTGCAAATACTATAAGATTAGAGTTTGTACATATGTAAAACATGAAATTTATATAACTTTTCCAAAAGCAAATTTTAATATTTAGACATAAAAATTTATATCATTGGAATCGTCAAAATCTGCAAATGGTAAATTTAATATTTAAAAAATTATTTCTTTGGATTTAAATATTTTTTATTTTGCACCAAAATACCATAAAATCTAAACGACCCTAAAAATGGATAAAAAAAAATTTAGTTGTCAATACACATGTTTCTTCAAATTTAAAAGAAATTGAAAGAGAAAGCTTATTTGCTGATACGGAAAATAATATACGCCTCCTTTTATAGTTTTCTGCCCGTAAAGGGCCCAAATTCGTCCTGAAAAATATCGATCTCTCCTGGAACAGAGTATAAATGATTATATACATATAATATACCAAATGTAAAAAAAGAAAAAAACAGTACTTTAATATTAAATATATGACATATTCTGTCGTGCGATTCTAATTAAATTAGAAATGGAGATTAAAATTTGTTTTTTCCTTTTTTTGCCGCTGGCATATTATGACACTAAAAACTATGGACACGTGGGTCTAAAAGCTTACTTGTACTCAAAGGAGATCCGATTTGCCGAAAGGTCCCAGGCTTCTGAAGAGATCGGAAATTTAATACGATAAAAATCCAGTCAAGAGTCTCAGGAAATATCTCGCAGCATCTTCTCTTGCTCACTTGGGGGTCATAATCACCATACTCGTTTTGTTGGTTCAATTCACAACCGGAAGGTGTAAATTATTCCCTCTATTAAAAAAAAAAAATAGAAACATTAACAAAAATATCTAAATTTTTATTTTCAATTAAATTCCTATTTATGAATGAAACAATGAAAAGACGAAAATTATCATTAAAAATAAAAGCTTAATTAAATTAATTGGAATTAGTAATTACTTTTAATGATTAGCAGGCAGGGGATTATATATATAAAAAAAAGAGAGAGAGAACAAAAAAAGAAAAAGAGGGAGAGATACATGTCGATGCAAAATGTTTCGAGGAACAGAAGGCCCCTGACGACAAGTGCCCTCGCATATAATGGGCCTTGCCCTTTTTTTTCCCTCCCGCCGACGACTCGTTTTCTTTCTCTTTTTAAGGACTTGGGTGACTGGTCAGCGACCAGGGCTCAATTCGGCATCGTCGGGTATATCCTGTATATAAGGCCCCCAACACACACACATAACTCCCCCTCATTTTCTCCCTCGTTCCCCCCTATGCGGTCGGACCCTGGCGCAGATTCCTGGGCCTCGTGCCTTTGGTAAAGAAACGCTATTACGTCCTTTTATTTGCCGAGCCATGAGCCAAAGCCGATTCCACGGCCATTCTTTTTACGTGATGTATTGTGGACTTAAACTTCTTAAACATATGCGAGAATCGTGCCGCGTGTCAAACATTAACAATCAAAGCTCGATTTTTATTTTACACTCCTTCTTCACTTGACATTTTATTTCTTTTCATTTTTTTTTAAATTTACAAAATAATAACTAAAAAAAATTCTAATTTTATTTTAAATTAAAATTTTTATTACTAGTGTTCAAAAAATTAAAATATTCCATGTTGTGCAAAATTTTTAAAGAAGAATAATGAAAATAAACTTGGCGAATATTCAAAGCGCATATAAAATGGTGATAAAATGAATTTTTTTTTTTTTTTTTTATTCAATTGATTGGAGTGAATTGTAGTCAAACGATCAAAGTCTAGTGTGGACAGTATATGTGTGTGTATGGATGTAAATAATACATATATTCATCCTATAATGTCTATGCAGGAGGAATATTGGATCCGAATGATGGTGACTCTTGATGTGAACGACCGAAAGATATTATGTGTTTGCAAAGAGATGTTTTTCTTATCATACGCAGATCGTTTGCACAACAAGTTCTAACTGGCATAAAGTCTTAACACACGGAATTAAATTCAAATGCATACGCGTCTTATATAATATTATTTTTTCGAAAACGAATTAATAATCAATTTATAAATTTCAAAAATCCTGAAAATACACAGAAAAAAAAATTTTTGATTCTAATAATCGGTTACTTATTATTATTTATTTATTTTTAAATAATTATTATTTGCAGTAATTAAATTGTATTTGTTTCAAATACAAAAATTAAAAATTAAATTTAAAAAAAAATTATTTAGTTCAAGTAAATATTTATTTGATAATAATCAAGTAATCTAGTATTTGAAGCAAATAAATATTTTTTTTTCAGTAAAATTGTAAAAAAATTCATCAAAAAAATTAGGATTAGACTAATTATATATTTAAATAAATAATGTAAAAAATTTGCATATTTAAATTAATTAAAATGTTGATTAATTTTTGGCTTTGTAAAATACATAAAATAAGAAATTAATAAAATTCAGATAAAATAAAGAAGAATATTATGGGCGTATGAATTTTTAAAGAAGGCAAAAAATAAATATATATATTTACTGTTATTGAAAAGTGAAAGACAGAAGGAAAATCGTGTAGTGCTTTTAAAACCGTAAATGACGTTAAAGGTTTGGAATGTTCAAGTTTCTGAATTTCTAATTTGGCATGACTCATACGTACATATATAAGTGAGTGCATTGTCGCATTCATTTGTTTCCAATTTATTTAAATGTCCCTCAAGAATATTGTAATGAAATCATTTTTTAATTCATACAATTTTTCTTTTTTTTTATGAACAAAATTTCTTTTCTAATTATTATTTTTTTTTTTATTAATATTTTTTTGGAAAATTATAATAATATTCAATGACAAGTAATTAAAAATTGGAAACAAAGTGAAAATAACATAAATTAATGAGAAAATTAAAGATTAATGTATAACGGTGTTTAATCAAGAAAAGTTTAAAATGATATTAAATATTTACTGTTAAAATGCTTATATATATGTGGAGATATCAACGCCCGTAGGGAAAATGATAAAAGTAATGAGCTTGTCGGCTCGCATATGCGAATATCATTATTTTCCGTCTTTATTTTAGCCGCCTATAGAAATATTATCATTATTATTTTCGTTATTTTTTTTCTTTTGTTATTCACAATATTTAGAAAATTTACGATTCAAGACTTGACATATACTGCGACTATATATATATATATAACGCGCAGCATCAATCCTTTCATATATTTTGTCACTCGACCCGCCCTTTCCAAACTTCAACAGTCCCACATTTCTAAAGTAATTATATCGTTACGAATTTTTAAAATAAATGAAGACATTTACGACCAGCTAGAGAGAAAGGGAGATAATTAAAAATATTTCTCCCTTTTTTTAAAACCATGTGTCACAAAAAAAATGTCTCATTCGAAAGAAATTTTTAATAAAAATATTTTTTTTTTGTGAAAAAGTGAGATTTTTCAATCATCACTTTTTTTCTTATCTGAGCAGTGAGATGTCAGAGTTGGTTCGTCGATAATGGATCTGATCAGAGTGAATCTGAAACAAGAAGAGCTTTTCAATTCGTGACCTGCGTTGGGTTCGAGTCTCGATTCTCATCGTTCGGTGCGGGTCGATCGAAAAGAAATAAAAAAAAAAAAGAAACAAAAAGAGAAGATGAAAGCAATAAGGAGAGCTTGTCGGAAAATAATTAATATGCCGCGGACACATAACGAACGGCTTCACGGAGCAGTCTGTTTGTTTTCGGACGGACCTTCCTCGGCTTCTCTTCAGACTCTCTCGGCATGTCGGTTGTATCTCTCTTTTGCCCGGGCCTCTCGACCTCCCGCTGCTTCCCCTTTTTTTTTCCTTTTTATTTTAAAACTTTAAACACAGGCCCACACTGAAACATTCGCCCGGGTATCTTCGCTTATATTATGTATATGTAAACACACATACACACACAAACCAGATGAGAGCCTCTGAGTCTCTTTCTTTAGTTATTCATCTTTCTCTAGTCTATTGCTTCTCATCTCTTCTTCTTTTCCTATCTTTTTACTTGGTATTCTTCCTCCTGTTCTTCGTCCTCTCTTTCTCTCTCTCTCAGTTATCGTGAGACTAAGACCGGAACAGACTTGTTCGATTCTCTTCGAAAAGAAGGTAGCAGAATTCTTATTTTTTAAGATTTAAAAGATTGAAAGGATCATTCTTTCTCGGAGACGGATACTTTGAAACCAAAGAGAGACGAATGAAGATATGTGAAGCGATGTAGTCGCAGTATAAAATGTCATGGACGTTAAATAGCATTTGATTGAGAACAGATTTCAAAGTAGAACAAAAGAATTTTTCAAAAGTTTCAGATTGGGAAAAATATGTATTTTTTTCAAATCGAAAAATTGTGACGAGAAAAAAATATTTTGTTGCAATTACATTTTTCGATATGAAAAATTGTGAAATCATTTCTGAAAAAAAAAAAAATGATTTAAATACATTTTTTGAGAAGGAAAAAGATATTATATACTTTTCTAAGGAATCTTTCAAAAAGAAGATCAAATTACAATTTCTGGTGAAAGAATTTTTTTTTTTTCACTATTGTGATTAACTCGAGCTTAAATTGATTAGTTAATTATTCAACTAGATTATTTTTTCAAAGAAACGATTTTTTTTAAGAATGTATTTCGTAATGTTTTACTAAAATTTAAAAAATTCTTATAGAAAAATTCAATTTTTCTTTGAGAAATAAAAAAATATTTTTACAATTTTTTTTTTTCGAATTGAGACATCAAAAATAATTATACTAAGAAAATTGAAATTTTATAAGTGAAAATTTGCATTTTTTTCATAAGGAATCAAACTTTTAAAGAATGAGGAACGTGCCCTGAACTCTTGTTGATTTTATATACGAGCCTGAAAGGCAACATCGGCAAAGCACACACGGCACAGCATGCCTCTCTCCATATATTCTTTCCAGTTTAATCTTTCTTTTGTGACTCTGCTGTTTTAGCGTTTTTTATTCGGCCTGCTAAGACCCAGCCTCCAGAAGAGCAAAAGGAGGTCCAGTGTGCCTCAGGCTTATTAACCGGAAAGAGAGACAGCAAAATCAGCTTCACGCGGGAAAGAGAGATGAAAAGTACAAAAAAAATTATAAACGAGAAAAAATTCATAAAAAGGAAGCACAGAACTTTAAAGAATTTCAATCAAGAAATAACTTCTTCTTCTATATGACATTGTTAATTGTTCATTACCAGTCAATATCAATTTTTTTTTTTTAATAATACCTAAAACAAATTATTAAAAAAATTTTTTTAAGTTAATTTTGTCTTTCGGTTTTCTCTTTGTAATTAAATGCCAACATTTACGGGATGTTAAATTGCGAAAAGAGAGATAAAACGAATTAAGAGCTATATCTTTTAATTGTTTGCTTCCTATTCGTGTTGTGTGACAAAAGAGGAAGATACAACTTTATGATAAATCACATTGTGGCGCGGGTCTCGAAATTGATAGCAGATTTTCGTCACGCAATCATTCTTACGTAAGAGAATATCGAAAGGAGAATGTGTGAGAGAAAGAGATAAAAATAAAAAAAAAAAAGTCGTATAAAATAGTCAACTAAATTTTGTCATCAGCTATATCCATAACAATAGGGATTTTAACCACAAATCTGTTTCGCTAAATTATCTCAGATCGTAAATAATTTTTTTTTTTATAATCAATCCGGAAATACTAAATAAAATTTATAAATTCAATTTTCGATGCTCTTCTTTCGATAAATATATAACAAAGTTGTAAATGCTTTATTTTTCTTAAATTAGATCAAATTGTTTAATTTAATAATGAAAATCAACTAATAATATAATATGTTATGCAATAATTATAATTTCACTTTTATTGTTTCATTCATTGAAATTATTTTTTTATTTTAAAAAATTGTAATAAATCAAAATTTTTAGAACAAACAAGGGACTTTTTTTAAAAGTATATTGAGATTTTATCGAGACATTGGGAGATAAATTGTAAATTTTTTTTTTTTTTTTTTTTTGAAGCGGAGGTGAAGAAGTCGGGTGGAATTAATGAAAAGGGAAGAAAATGTTACCTTGGTAAACGAGATATCGCTGCTCAAGAAGCGGAGGCATAAATAATTTTTGAATTTAATAAACGTCTCTCTTCTATAAAAGTTGTCTTAGCTGCAAATATATACCGCTCTACGGACACACAAGAGCGAGTCTGAATATGTATATATATATATATGATGGACGTCATTCTTATCTTTTACGACTTTGCAGCGGCTACTAATTAGAGGAAAAAGATAATCGGGGTTTGTTTCTGAATCCATTGAGGCTGTCTTTTCTCTTTCCCACAAAAATCTATATAAAACAAAAACAAAAAAAAATAATCAAAATTAGATCAAAATAAAAAAAAAATTATATTAATTAGATAGAAAAATATAGACTGCAAAAAATAAAACATTAACATTTAATTAAAATAATAATTATATGTAACAAAACATAAATTATATAAATGAAATAATAATAATATAAAAGCGAAAATATATTTCGAAGGAATAACTCAGCGAAAATTGCTTCTTGGTATTTAAAATTATTTATCTGAATAGTAACCTACTTACTTCTATAGTCATAAATAAGTTAATAATTTTAGTTAAAAAGAAATTAAAATCTTGTTCGATCACACTATATAACCTCAAAGTAAAAAAAATTTATTCGAAAACAATGAAAAAATATTAGTTATAAAATAACTTAACCTCAATTAATTATTTTTTCCTATTTATTGCAAAAATTTGGAGAAATTAATAAAAATAAATCCAAACATAAAATTACAATGTGTGAATAAATAAGAGGCAATGTCATTAATGACTTGATGAATGCAATTTCGAGAGATAAGGAGATAAGAAATTTAATTGCCAGGTTGTTGACTTTGGTAACCATCTCTCAATTGCGGAACACTTTCTTCGTCGCATGAATAAAGATGAATTGCAATCAATTAGTCAAATGCATCATGACTTTTTCTATATAATTATATATGCGAGTATCACACAAATTAATATAATTTTTTTGTACCGTCAACTTTAATTATTATCAATAAAATTCGTCTTTTAAAACACTATGCACTGAATGCCGCACCATTATTTAATGTTTGTCAACATCACGTATATAAAAAAAATTATATTTTACTAAAATGTAGCGGAACATTATTCCTAACCTAAAAATAGTATTTTTTTTTCTATATAACGTATAAATTGCCCTATATATTCAAAATTATTATAAACCCATAAATTGACGAAAAAAAAACTTTTTATGACAATAGTAATGAAAAATAACCTAAAAATTTTGCTAACAACTCTGAAGCTATCTCAAATTTTCGATATATATTTTTCGAGATTATTACCTTAAATGGAGCAAATATTAAAAAACTTTTTTCTTTCTTGAATCACAAATATTCTACAATAATTAGTTATTGCAATTATTGATAAACTATATAATTATCGATGACGATCGCGAAACAAGTCAATTCAATATGGCCGACATGCCAATAATGATACATTAAAAAGTTATCGAAACAATATTCACATGTTATTCATAAGATATTAAGAATATTAATACTCATATTTACCTATTGATGACTTTTTTATGGCATCTCTCTAAATATTAATAAATTATCGATGATTAATTAATGGAAAAAGTAGCAGCGTCCTTTCAACATATTTTTCACGCCAAGGAATGATGCTTTCCCGCGCGAAAAAATATTGCACCTTCCCCCACTTGCGCTCTGATTGGCTGAATTTCCAATATCATTGGACATTTTTGTAATTGATTTTTGATTGGCTGAGCACTAAAACCGGGAACATTTTTCGGCATACGTCGATTTGATTGGCTGATTGTTGAAATTTGAAATATTTAAATATTATTCTGTGTAATAATTTAAATTAAATTTAATTAATTCTTTCCTCGAATTTTTTATTTAATTATTTTTAGTACTTTGAAATTTTAGTGGAATTTAATAAATATTTATTAAAATATTAAGCGTTTAGTAATAAAATCAATCATTAAATTGTTGATAAATAAATCGTTGCGTACTTTAATAGGTGCAATTATTATTTATTAAATATTCGAGGTTAAAAAGAATGTGTAGAGAAGGAATTAGTAAAATATATTTAAAAAAGAGCGTAAAATGAAATAAATAATTATTATTTATTAAACAATCAATTATAATTGAAATATTTTATTTTAATATAAAATAAAAATGTTTTTTTAATTTTCAATTAATATAATTAGCATTATTTATATTAAAATTTTATTGTAGCTCTAATTAATTTGTATTTCTTTCTTATATTTTAATTTAAATTTCAAATTGTTATTTATTACTTTTGTATTATTATTTAAAATTAAAAATAAGTGGACTTGAATCTTTTTAATTATTTGGTTTTAAGGAACACAATTTATTATTCTATTTATTTGTAAGTAAATTATTTAATTAATCAATCAATCAATTATTTATTTTATACTGAAAAATTCTCTATCAAAACATAAAATTTAAATAAAAAATTATAAATTTACTTTCCTAAAAGTTAATTAAGTTACAAGATTCAAGTTCACTTTTTTTTCCTGTTTATTTAACAATTTGTTTTTCATGTAAGAGACAAAAAAGAAAAAAAAACAACCGATAAGTGAACAATTTAAACAAATATAGTTAAAGTCAAGGTTAACTATTTTTTAATTATTTGACAAATAAAAACTCTTAATTGCTTGTATATTATTTTTAGTTGCATTTTGAAAGTTTAAATATAACAGAAGATGTTTTTTTTTTCTTGTTACAGAAGCAAAGGATGCTGAATTAGTGAGATGCTATTGCAATCAGCCAGATTGTGTTTCCCAATCTTATCTCTGCATGGGCCGTGGATGTTTCACGGAATTGCCATCAAGTTTGAATCCAGCATCATTGAGGCCTGAACACAGTCCCTACAGTGGCTGTTTGGAAAAGAGTCTTAAGGAAAGACAATGCTCGTCTGGATATTTGTGCTGCGAAGAAGATCTTTGCAATCACATTGACAGTCCTGCCGTGAGGAGTAGGCTCAACAAAACTCTTCAAGGTCGGTTAATTATTATCTTCTCGTTACCTCCTCCTCCTCCTCATCTCTCTCTTTCTCTTTTTCCACCTTGAAACGCTTGATCTTTATCTCCTTTGGGACTCGTAAATTCTTTAAGTACTTTATCCAACGCTTACAATCCACCAGCCCTTTACTTATTGACTTTTACTCGCGATGACATACGAGTCGGTCAACGTCAAAGCTAAAGGAGAAACTCTTGGAACGCTTCGTTGACCTCTCGATTCCTCTGATTAAACTCTTTTTTTCTTCACTTTTTTTTTCTCCCCATCCAGCATCCTATCCTTCACTTCGCGAGTCTAGACGCCATGGAATCAACAAATTTAATGATACCCAGTATTGTAGATAATTCATTCCAAACGATATAATTACAGCATGAAGAATTTCAAACAAGAAAGTCATGACAAATTTTCGTCCTCATTGAAACCTACGAAAAATAAATAACAGTCATTAATGTGTTTAAACAAACGTAATAAATTAATATAATAGAAAGAATATATTTTTTTTTAATTTCATAAAATTTATAACAAATTTTTTCTTACAGTTCTTGTCGGCGATTCGAGGGCCTTTTTGGGACCAATTCAACCAACGGGTCAAGGAATTCAAAATACAGACGGCTGGTTCCGGACTGCGACAATTGCAGTGCCAATTTGTGGCCTTATAGTTCTTCTAATTTTGGCATCATTAGCGATCAGATTGCTTCAACCATTACCAAATCAAATTGATAAACTGGGCCCACATCGAATGCCTGACAACGCTCCTCCTCTACTGGGAACACCGAAAGTGCCTTTGGTCTAAAACAGACCGCTCGATAGGTTCCAAAGACTTTTTTTTTAGAATTGTCTTTTTTTTTTAAAAAAAAAAAAAGAAAACGCCACTCGTTTAATTTAATTCCATTCGTAAATTTCTTTATCTAAAATTTAAATTTTATTTCATAACAAAAACATTGTTTTTTTATTTCAATCTTTTTTTCAATTTAATAAGTCATAATACTAAAGAATTAAAAACATTTTTTAATTTTTTCTTAGACTCATTTGTGTAAAAAAAATGTATTTAACTTTTAAATAAAGAAATACGAAGGATCCGAAGACTCCTAGAAAAGCTGTGAGCCTAACTGGCTCCACTCGGCTGTGAATTTTTCTTGAAAGAAAACATCAGTGTATATTATTATATATGTATAAAAAAAATATCTCTTCTATTCTCGCGTACCAACATGTTATATATTATTAATATTATTATAAATAAATAAATATATATATTTTATAACTATTAGATTTATAAGACTTGCATTTTCCTCGAGGCAAGAGACAAATGTTTGTCATTTAGTGGAAAGCAATAATTCGAAATTGATTGCATAATGTCCAACGACATAAATAATAGCCATAATTTTGATAAATTTTCTTTTCAATAAAAATATCTATTTTATAAAATTAATTCTCTTTTTGTATATAAAGAATACTTTTTATACATTTTTTTTTTTTTTTTTTTTTGTAAAAATTGCAGAATTTTTCAAATTATGGCATAAGAAATTTGTCAGTGGAGGCTTTACTTATATATTATGCTTTTCCTCATTATTATATTGTGGAAATTTCTAAATTATTCTTTAGCACCTATTTATTTATTTGTTCAATTAAACTGTATGAGCAGTAAAATGACAGCTTTTATAATTTAAAAAATGTCTTCTAAATTTTAAAAATTCTTTAATATTAACAATTTTAACAATTTAAAGATATTCCAAAAAAAAATTTGACTGTAAAATATATATCTAATATTCCACACAAAATTTGAAATTTAAAACATTTTTTTATAAATTAAATCTAAATCATTATTATTTTGTAAATAAAAAAAAAAAAAAAAAAAAACAAGGGATCTGTGAATTGGCGCTGAGGTGATTTTTCGATAATAATGCATAGAATTGAAAATTTGAATGAGACATTCCAAACAGAGCGAAAGCAATTGCCGGGGGGTTGGAATGAATGTTATCACTTTGTAAGGAGCGAAGTTCACGTAAATGATTAATATGATGATTGCCCTTCTCGGGTCTGTCTTTGAATTTCAAGTGATTTAATTGTTTGCGAAACGCGCAGCGCTTGTTCTTAGTTTAAGATAAGAGAGAAAGAGAGAGCGTTCATCAAAGTCATTGATTGTATATTTATATCGTCGCGTGAAAAATGAAAATAAAAAAATGACAGCTCTCGATTATGTTTTATAGTTAGTTAAGTTTTTTCTTTCTTTTTTAGCTGTCGGAATATCGCGAGAGCAAATTGTCGTTCGTACACAACTCCAGATAATTGTATTCCATTGTAAAATAATAATTATTTTTTTTTTGTGATAATACGACATAATTATTAGACAGTGTTATTGACACGTATCACATTTTTTTTTTTTTATTTTCATGACAATATGCGTTTGCCTGTAAAACAGGGTGATTCACTGCGAAAAAAAAATCATGTCAAAAATGAAAATACACTGCAAAAATTTTACACTTTGTTTTCTGTTTTTTATTCTGTTTATCCAAATTTTTTTTTCAGTCATCCATTGATTCCATTCAATCCTTCAAGTCATGATTCAACGAATGTATCAGTTTTTGATGTACATTTAACAAGTCATGTTTCATTTAGAATTGTACAATCTTAATTTTCAAATTTAGAAGTACATGCTTCATGCATTTAACAATTCGCATTTTTTTTTTATCACAAAAGAAACTGCATTTTTAATGTAACATGTGCATTTCGCGCAAGTGTTGTTTTTTTTCAACTCAAATGCCGTTATTGTCCTACTATTCTCCAAATAGCAATCATAAAACGTTTTTTTTTTTGTATCTCGGCATATCACACTATTAAAATCATTATTGGGCCGTTTTTTATTTAAAAAAGAAAAAAGAGAAAAAACAATTCTCGACCAACTTATACTTTCAAGAGACATAAAAATTAAATTCTTTTTTTCAAATAGCAATCGCTTTAACATTATTTTATAACAAATTTGTAGAATGGGCTTTGATTTTTTTTCCATGAAAATAAAATGATTAATTAACGATCACTGGAGCCCATCACTCATACCTTTGATTATACTTTAAGAAAAATGCATTTACATTATAAAAATACTGTTCAAGGTATGCAATTTACTTTTATTTTATTATTATTATTTTTTTTACTTCCAGGCCCGGAATGGCGTGGTTAATCATTACACTTACGTTTTTTTCGCTTGTAACAGAAATACACGTAAGTTTTTTTTATTGTTGTTGCATTTATTCCAATTAGTTTTAAATTACCTCGATTGTTTTTCGTTTTGTTAAGACAACCCGATCAGCGGGTGCGAGATGTACTTTTTCTTTCTTTTTTTTTACTAGGTTCTATTTATTACCTAGGACAAAATCTCGCTGAAAGACTTTACGTACGCTTCATGAAGCTTGTTGACAAAATCCGGATCACTTCTTAAAAGGTAATTGACTGCTTGGAGCAATTGATTCCTTGTGAGAGGTTCCAAAGGTCGATTTACTGGTTCGGCAGGACTGGGAGCCGCAAACATCACTGGCGGTATTAATGCAGGTGCTGAATTTGTTCCTGATGCTGTTCCCTGTCTAGGAGTAATTGGTGAACTTATCACATCTTCCGTCATCTGAAAAATATAAAGAAAATAAATAATTTTTTCAATATTTGTGTATTTTTTTGACTTTAAATAATTACCACAGATGAAGAAGTTTGTCCAAACAATGATGTAAGAGGATTACCGCCGCTTGATCCAATAATATGATTAGTGTGATGATTATTCAATAGAGACGATGTGTTTACAGGCGATTGTATCCTGAGAAAACTCGAGTCATTAGTTTCACTTTGAGCAATTGTGGACGGAAGATCTTGAACATTTGGGCCTGGAATTGTGGCTAATTGTGAAACTTTATTTTTTTTCTTTGATCTGTTTGCTACAGATAAATTTCCAATGTCATTTGCAGCAACTGACATGGGCGTTGTTGAAATATGATGATGATGAGAAGGCGGCACTGGCTGAGGTGTTGTTGATCTTTGTTGCTTTTCAATATGCTCCAATGTAATAGCAGTTGGATGTGACATTAAACGTGCCAATAGTGGTTTACTTTCGTGTACCTGAATTGGTTGATCGCCAGCTTTAAAATGCATTGGATTAACTTTTGCCTTAGCGAAAAAGTCCATTACACTTTGGGATGTAACATCAGGTCCCAATGGTGCTGTCAATGGTCCAGAAATCATATCAATATTTGTATTCATTGGCGATTTTGTACCTACGCCTGACTCATCGTTTCCACCTCGATTTATATTATAATCCTCTTGCGCTTTACTGAGCATACTGAAAATATCTACATTGTTTGAATTACGTTGTGCCTTTAATTTTGGCAAGACTTTGCATGTATTTTCTGATTCTTTCACGAGTTTATTTAACATTGCGGCAATGCGCACGCATTCGTCTTTGTCATAAAACCAAATGCCATGAATATCACATTTTGAGTTTCTATAAAGCAGAAAAGGCTCGTGTAATTGTAAATCTAGACCTCGTGTTACTGGCTCCACTTGGTTTTTTGTATTTAATCTGTTAAAAAAAATTACAATTAACAATAATTTCATTTTATGATTTTAAAAAATATTCCATTTCAAATAATTAATATTAATAATTGTAGTTTAAATTAATAAAAATACAACTTTTTAAAAAAATATTTTGTAGATCGAGATAAAAGAATTTCAGAAGTATAAGTATAATTATATTACAAAAGAATTTAAATTTCTAATTTTTGTATAAAATATAATTTTCAGTAAATTATAATTTTCAAAAAATACTTCTAATTATTTAATAATTAAAATACGTCTCACAAAATTTCATTCTAAAATACTGTGAATAAATTAAGGTAGATTAAATTTTAACAAATATATTAATAAATATAATATTGTGCCAAGAAAAGCACATTAACAAAAAAAATAAAAATGTTGATGATACACAAGTTTTGTATATGAGAAAAAAAAATGGAGGTTAAGAAAAAAGAAAGCAACAAACCTATTCATGATGAGAAAACTATTGAACGGTTCTCCACTTCTTGAGTAAACAAATAAAGCACCCTCGACATCAGTCTTTTCCCATTCACTAGTTTCAGCATTAAATGTATATAAAGCGACATGAGTCGCGGTTTCTAGGATATCCTTGACGTAAGGGTCAACTCTTTTCAAAGCCGCTACGTTCATTCTTAATTCCGACACGTTCGACATTTTCACAACTATATGTATTGTATAAAAGATCTCAAATCTTTTCGACTTTGGTCGTACTTAATAAATATACACAATTTCTCTTCTGATTTCTACTTGTGTCTTATAATATTAATAATATGAAAACTTAAACCAGCTGCTTCTTTCAATTGATGCCATACTAATTTTTAGGTTGGTTTTTTTCAGATTTTGCGCATCAGAAGTATTATTCAACTTTCATCATTTGCCGATAGATGTCCCTATGTGAAAAAGACTAATTTATGGAAAATTAGTCTTTTTTCATAGTTAATTCTTATTCTTTCATAAAGATAATACAATTTTATTTGTTTCTTTTATAATTTATAAGTTTTTTAAATAAAAAACAGTATTAATTAGTTATTATTTTTAATTTACATTTTTTCTTTTTAAATTACCGACGGATAAGTAAGTAGCGACATCTTCAACTAATTTGATGGCGGGATTTTTTTACAATGCCCTCAAAGAATTTATTTTATTATGAATTTTCTGCTTTTTATATTAAAAATATCAAAGTAAATAATTAATTTAGTTAGTTTTTGTTTGAAAAATAATGTATTTTACGTTTAATGTAGCTTTTTATTTTATATAATATATAAAACATAAAAAATATTTGAATGGTTCACAGTTGAAGTTGTGGTCACGTGACCAATGAGAATTGGGGAAATTTGGCGCACTTTTACTGTTAACGTTCCTTTGCGGTGTGTGTCGTCGGTCTTCGTCTACAAGATTTTCAGCCAGAGAAAAGAATATTTTGCTGTATTTTACGAAGTAATTTAGGTAAGTAACTTATTTAAAATGTTTATTATTAACTGATGATCAATAATATATATGATATTTATGTATAAATTGTGTTAACTTGTATACATTATCCCTGTGAACATGCATGCTATAGAATATAGGTTAACTGTGTATGTGTTAATTTTACTATTTTAATTTCATATCTTTTGTAGTCTAATTATTAAAGATTAAAGTGATTTATTAATCACAGTTAAATGATAAAATGATTATTTAAATGAGAAGTGAAATAGAAACTATTTTTATAGCTGTCAATGACGAGGACATCTCAAAGACGTGCCGAAATCAGAAAAATGTCGGAGAAAAAATCCAATTTCCACATCATCCATCGGCTTATTTTGATGGAAAAAGATGCTAAACAGCCTGTAACTGGATAAATTGGTAAGTTTTATTTATTTTAACAGTTATGCAATATTTGTTTCCTTTTTTTAAACAAAATTTGTTTGCATGTAATTATATCATCCTTTTCAATAATCTCGAAATTTTTATACCACGAGAAGGTTTATACAATTTTTAATGATTTTTAACAATTATTATTTAATATCGAGATTTAATTTATTGATTTGATTTTAAGTGAAATTATATTTAATCGATTCCAATCACGATTTCTTTTAGGTTATGTTTTGTAATTTTGTTTTATTTTTTCAAATCTGTTTTCTTTTGTATTTTTATTTATTATATTTCGGTAGATAAATGGAATAAAAATAGTGTGAGTTTCTAAACAATTAATTTAAAGTAGTTGTGTGGAAAATAGTTTAATATTTTAATCAATTAAATTACAATTTTTCGACTTTTTAATAAAAAATAGTTTTGAAATTAATGAGTAATAGAAATGTCCAATTTTTTTTTGCTACAATTATCTTTATTTAAATATATAAATTTAACAAAATTAGAGAATTTTCTGTCATTTATTTTGTACTTAATTAATTCTTCTTAAACTAGAATTAATAAAAAAAAAAAAATAGCATCATATTTTTCTCGTTGATTTTGAAAAAAAAATTCTTAAATGATAAATCTTCTTTTGCTATGCTCATATATTTATGTGAAAGTTATTCTCTCGTCAGTTTCAATTACTGTCTACGAAAATTTTCAAGATTAATGCGATGCATATATGCCTTCATAAAACATACAATAATTTCGTATGTAGTATATTACATGCTCTTTATATTTACGTCACATATAGGACGACGGAAATTTTTGAAATCACTGTTTATAAATCTTGACACGTTACATTTACATTTTTGCAATGCTTTTATTTTCATCGGTAAATGGACTAGAGTATACTATTTTGAAAAAAAACATCAAAGTTTATTCTCTGTATAAATATAAAACACTCCAAGTGGACGCACACTGTATGACACTCGGAAAATTTATTGTATGTTGCTGGATTTAAATTTCTTGCAAAATGCATTTTCCATTTATTTTTCTTTTCTTCGTTTGGTGTAATTCTTATAAATTTCCGTTTTAGAAAAGTAAATCGGTTTTCATTTAATTTATTTATAAATAATTTTTAATATTAATTTTATGGAACGTAAAATTATTATGTAGAATTATTAAAATGAAAAAAAAAATTAATTAGAAAAATATTATATAAAAAGAAGGAAAATATTTTGTAATTTTATTTCGATTTTTTTTTCTCTCAAGAAAAAGTTTTAAATTTCATTATTGTTCGTCTTACAATTAGAAGGGAATGATTATTAAAAAGATATAAAGCTTTTCTTAGTACGGCGAAGCTCTTGCGCTTTTATCAACTTGTGGTATGCTTAAGTAACGTTAGTCAACTTTTTAAAATTGCGAAGAAGAATTCTGATAATAATGACAGACCATTATGATCATAATTCATAATTAATTTACTCCGTCTCAAGATTTATTTTTCTTATAGTTCTTCTCTTTTTGAAATTTATCTATTTTATTTTTAAAAAAGAAAATGGTTTTAGAGATGGGGAAATTTTTATTTATTATTTTTAAATCAGCTTTACTGACAGAAAGTTGTTATTTTTAATATAGAATGTAAAAAAATTGAATTAATTTTTATTTTAGAATGAAATCAAATTTTCCTCAACTTTAAAATATTATTTTATCAGCTTATGGAATGAAGGGGATATATGCATCGTAAAAAATTGAATTCAAAAGAATTTTAACTTTTTTATTTTTCACCCTATAAAAGTTTATATATACAAAAAATTATTGTTTTTAAAAATTTACAAATATTTAATTCATATAAAAACAAAAATTATAAATTACAATTTTTTTTATAGAATAAGGAATACAGATGTGTAAATATACAGAATGTTTAAAAAAAAATTTATTTACATTTTGAGCAAATTTAACAATATAATATAGGAATCTTAAAAAACTACAATTTAAAATTTTTAATTATTTAATTGTTATTTGTTAAACTACACTTCAATTCTTATAAACAGACAAAGTTTGAAAACATTTTTCAAATGCTATTAAATGAAAATAATTTAGTACAATTTAAATGAGTTAAATTTTTTAGTTTAAATTTATTTTTTTAAAAAATCTTTTAACTATAAAAATTGTTAAATAACTTATAAATAGATCTTTTTTTAAGAACAAACAGTTGAATAATTTTAATTATTATTTACATAAAATACATGATGAGAAATTAAATTTTTTAATAAATTTAAAAATTTAATTATACATTTTAGGGAAAAGAAGATGGAATAATTCATTTCAAATAGTTGTGACAATAGCTCTATGGAGGCAAAGTCCTTGACAACCTTGTCGTAGTCCTGGCCAATGTACAGCTCTTATTTTAGTTCCATTTGGATTTGGTGATGAATGATGTCGTGCATGAAGTTCTCGTCTAAATTCAACCCCTTGTGCAACATCCAACACCAAAGGTATCGGTCTTGCTAAGCAAACCCAAGCGAGGCTTGAACATACATTTGCATAGGTTTTAATTTCCAAACATACCTTTAGACAGGGAAAGTCGTAAAGGGTCCTTTTTAATTGGCTGAGAATTTGCTCTGTAACTTCCTGTATTCCCGTTTGTGCACCGGAAGTTGCCAATTGGCGTCTGATGCACTCTTCCAATTCGGGCGAAACTTCACTACTGCTTGTATTTATTGCCTGTGAACTCGTTCCATTTAAAATCTTAATGGCCTCCAGTCTTCGAGAGGTTTGAATTATTCCAGCGACTCGCCACGATAGCTGAAAACAGAAATAATTATATATAGTTTCAGCTCTTTCATTTAACTTGTTTTCTAATTATAAAGCTTTTCTGGCTTCATGATTAATTCTCTCTGTTATTATCAGGATTTTTCGTGTTTAATTGAAGTCTCTTTTTTTTCAATGAAAAAATATATTCAACTTTCAATTTCCGTTTGAATTGTTTAATTTATTACAAATTATTATTGATTGTTTTATTAATTAAAAATTACGGAAACAAAAAATTTTGGTATTAAATAAAAATGTAATATTTATTTTAGCTCCGATGATTTTCTCCCTGAGGTGTACATATTCTTTCAATATATATGTATATAAATTAGGAATTTTTAATTTGAGATTGAAATATATTTACATATGAAAATCGTGTTAATTTCAAGAGAGCTCCTTTGGGGTATATTTATAAGTGTTTGAAAGGAAAATAGTTTTTGATTGTAATAAAGACATAATTTAAAAGGTAGAGCAAGTCAAGAACCCTTGTGGGATTTCGTTGAGCTTTCACGTATATACAAACGTTTTATAAGGTTGTGTTTGTAAAATGTCATAATGTGTGTTCAGTGAAGCTCTCTCTCTCTCTCTCTCTCTGTGTAGTTTATAGAAAATGTACATACTTCACCGAGAGCATCTCTTGAGCAAACACTTCTTTCGTGCTCACGCGCCTCCCTCACTTTCAAGAACGAAAAGACACGTTCTGGAATCACGTCAAATTACGAGTCACTCGGAAATTAGTTTACTTTACAAAATTTTTACTCTCTTTTTCCACGAAAAAAAAAAATGTCCCCTAGAAAGTAATCTCTCAAAAAGTTAACTTTTATTAATGCGCAAGTTGATTTACATAAATTTTTCTTTATTCGATAATGACAAAATTAATAATTAAAAAATTCGTTAGGTATTATTTGCATTAATTTATTATGAAATTTTTTCTTTAAATATCTAAAAAACAAAACATTTTAATTTTAAATTATGTAAAATTCAAATATTTTAGAAAATTGTGACATTTTTATTATCCCGATTAGTCTGAAAGTGCTATTTTTTTTAGAACGAGGGAATTTTACGAAGATGATAATGTGGGAAGGGGGACAAAGTAGTAAACGTCGTATTCAGTCAGCCAGAGGCTATTTTTTTTTACAACCGCATTTTACATGCCTCTAGAAATCGATGAGCTAAAATAAATATTTACCACGCCAGACAAAAAGTGCAATATGCAGACGATTCTATTTCACTTTTTTTTTGTAACACTAAAAAAAAGTGTATTTTTCTTTTTAAATAGTAAAAAAATGTTATATATTAAATATGTCATCTGAGCGTAAAGAGAGATAAAAATACAAGGAAACGGAAGTGGAAACAAAATATAATTTATATATATACAGCATTTGAGTATATCTTTTGTAGGCTATTTCGATAAGGATTCAGGGCTTTATATTCACCCGACAGATATTTTTTCGAAAGTTATTCCCACCCCACCCCCTCGGGAATGAAGTTCATAACTTAACAAACCGCTTTCCGCGATTCATACAACTTTGAAAATACGTCCAAAATCTGCCCTTCTTTACTTAATGTTCCCTTGAGTTTGTTCAGAAAAGTTAGTCGATTTATGACAAAAGAAAGAATTTTCCTTTTATAAAATATACAGAAAAAAAATACTTTTCCTAAATAAAAAAAGAGGTTTGAAATTATTTAATTGATGTAGAAAAAAAATTTTTAATTGATCTTCACCCAAAAAGGATTAAATAATTATTTTTGCTCTTTCTTTTATTAATATATTTTTTAATTAAAAATTTGTCAACAAACAAAATTTGTTGAAAAATGATTCTACTTGTAAAATTTAAAACGAAAAAAAAAAAAAATATTTGATTATTTTCAATAAACAATTGTTTTCATACATTGAAATGCACTTGTATAGCGATTAAAATTATTCAATTGAATGGATTTAACTCCAAAGTTATTGCCTGTCATCATAAAGTGTTTAAAGTATTGATCAATATCGTTTGAAACAATTCAACCATATTGAAAGTTGACCAAATTCAATAACAGATTTCTAATTGATTTATTTTCTAAATTTGATTTTGCTTGGTTGCACTACGTATTTAAACTAAAAATGGTTTGTTTCATTTATTAAAAAAAAAAAATGCAATTTTTATTCGAGATTTGAAAAATGTTTTATATAAAATAAATTAAAAGAACTATTTTTCATTTTGTCCTTTATGAAAGTTTTCACTATTTCAATTTAAATTGTATACGTTTTCAAAATTTAGTTAAAATTGATTTAATAATTTTATTTTCTCCTTTTGTGTATGATAGTGATATTTATGACAAACAAATTTTGTAATATTGACAATTTTTTTTTGTATTTTTATTGGAAAATTGAATATAGAAAAGTTAATAAAAAAAAAAAGTTATTTATTTTTCTGGACTAAAGGTCAAATATTCCGTTGATACGTTCTGGTTTGTTACTACATATATATCGTTACGGTGGCGTCACATTCTTCTCGTTTATTTCATTGTAGAAATCCAGCTGTTTATATTGGCGGAAACGATATTTTGCCCTAGATAATGAATCTGACGAATGTTATATATGGTTATGCAATTTACAGTTGATTTTAAATGTGGAATTTTATTTCACGAACGCTTCAAATTTTTTGCATCACTCAATTTATGTAATTTATAATTAAATAATTAGTAACAAAAAAAAATGCAAATTAATTAATTATAAATTAAATAATTTATTAAACTTTTTTTCAATTTTATTATTAATTTAAATTTTAAATTTTGGAAAAAATAATTAACATTTCTATGCAATATAGAAATTTATATGAGTTGAAATTTTACCGATATTGTACCTTAAGGAACATGTTTCAGAAAAGAATTTTTTTTTTTTGGTTTAAATACACTCCAGTTGGTTAAATATGCACTTGCGAAAAAATTGTGTTGACTCAATTCAATCTTTATTCTACTCAGTGCTATATGTATAGGATAAAAAAAAATTGCAAATACAGAGAGAGAAATGAATGGAGTAACTATTTATTTATTAGTTAAAGGGGTGGTTTATTCTTCTGCTTATTTAGTTAGTAATGTATTTTCATTTTTCTTTTTACAGATTCTATCCTCGGTGGCTTGTGGTGTTACAACAAAGACAAAGGCAAAAGTAAAAAGGAGTATCTTGAATGATACAAAATTCACAGACTTTTTAGAACTCGGTCTATTTTTACGGTTAATTTTCACATTTTCTGAATGGAAATTTAATTTGAATGTAGGGATCTCCGAGGGCTATTTAGTTTGAAAACATCTCCTGGAAGCTGAAGATTTCGTTATTAAGGTAAATATTTTAATTTATTGGAAAAATTTTATTACTGAAAATTTTAATATAATTTTCTTTTCAGATCTGAAGCTCCGATCGTCTTCCCCAACACTTGGTTTTTTCGGCTACTTTTTTCGTGTGTGAAGTAAAACAGTTCGTAACAGAGAACAAGGTATTTGAAATCGTTATTATATTTATTAATATTATATTTAGTTCTTTTAGTGAAGGGAATATACGCTAATTAAGTTGGAATATATAAAAGTAAACGATATAGGGAAATGGAAAATCAATTTGTCATACAATCCAAGAAGGAAGGTTGAGGTATGCGATATTGTATAGCAGAAGGTGGTAAATTTTATTTCGCTTTCAAAGTACAAATATACTTACCACCACGATGGAGTAGAGAATCTTGGCTTTGAGCTCAGGGGCGTCTCGAAGGGGTTCCAGGGAATCGAGTGCATCCAATGTGTGTAAATGTGCATGAGCGTAAAGGGCTCCATATCTTTCTGCGAGACGTTCAACGTTGACGTTCACATCTAAGTTGGATAGGTTTTGTAACGCCTCACTGAGATTGCTTCTGGCAATAATGTTCGTGATACTTGGTTCTGGTGTGGGACTACAACTCTCGTCAGTGTGATATCCAGCACTGCTGGATTCTTCCTCGTATTCGTCGCCCAGATTCTCGTCTATATGAATTTCCTGTGAAAATTTCTTTATTATTCCTTTTTTTTCACATTCTTTGACCTTTTATATATACATATTAACAAATTCAATTGTTATTTAGCTATCATTCATTTAATTTAAATGAATAAATCGTTTTGCTATATTGTATAAAATACAAATATATACTAAACGAAATTTTTTCACATAAAATATGAGACATTTTATTTTTCATGAATATATAAAAGTAAATCCGAAAAGCACATCAAATTTAGTACAAAAGAAAATAAGAAAAACTTTCATATCTTGAGGGAATATTGTGACTTATCTAGCAACATCATAAAATATATCTCGCTAAATTACGATATTTTTTTTTATTTTTAGTTATAAATCCCTAGTTTTCATTTCTTTTTTTAAAATTTAGTGCTATCCTACTTTAAGGTGTTAGTTTTTTTTACACACACTTAATTTTAAAGAAATTATTTCTTTTAAATATCGTGTGATTCCCTGTGTATATATGTATAATTTCAGTTAGTATTAACTACGTTGAAATGAAATTTCTACAAAGACCCTCGACAGGCAGAGAACAATTTGCAACAGTTAAACTCCACTAGTTCCCTCAATCCAGATTAAAAGTTAAGCTTGGCTTGAATTTTAATTCTGCAAATTGGCTGCTAAAGTCACAGACACGTTTTTCCACACTAGAGAAATTACTATTCAAAGAATGTTATTCTTACGTTTTTTTTTTAAAAGATTAACGATTATTAATTTAATATTATTTTATTATATATAAAATTTTGATTCAAAAATAAAATGTATTCATAATGATAAAGTACGCAATCATGGAAAGTTTATATAGGGATTAAACTATAATCCGAAGTAGACATTTTTGTGAGGCATTAAATTAAAAAAAAAAAAAAGAAGCCTTTGAATTTGTGGTTGAGAAACTAGGTTAAAATGTATTTTACAAGTCACTTTAAAAACGTGAGATGCATTTTTTTAAATGTAATTCCGTAGATGTTCTTTTCTCGCTAAAATTTTGAACATTTACATTTGGTAACTGATCGTCAGTACTTGTACCTCATTTTTTTTTTCCTTGTCACAAGAAATTGGTATTTTCATATGTATTTTACCAACCAAGGTCTTTTTATTCTTTAAGAGAAGAAGAAAAATTTCCGTTTAACTTTGTAACAAGCTTTCACCTCGTATTAAATTCCTTCTTGTATTTTTATTGTAAAAGTTTGAGAATATATGCGAAACTTTCAAACGTCCAGTTTCCCTCGCGCCATTAGAAAATTGATGTCACCGTTCTTTCAAGATGCGACAAGTGACAACCTGTTCGTTTTCTCTATTTTTTGTTCTTTAACCACTAGAGGAGCTATTTTGCAAATAGAAATTATTCTGAAATTGGCCAATTTTATAATAAGAACACAATACGCGACAAGTATGCCAAAGAAATTTCGAATTTTAACTAATGTTTTAAATTTATTATAGAAATTCTATCAATTTTTTGATTTTTCTTTCTTTACAAATTCAAATGATTTATTAAAATATATCCCACGAAAATGTTTATGCAAATTTAAAAAAAAAATCATATGGTATTTTTTTTTTAAATTAAAAGTAATTTATAAAATTAAAATTTTTTTATGTTCAGCTAAAAGTTGAATTTTAGTAAAAGTAAAAATTGTAAACGAAAATAAAATAGTACAATTTGAAAAATCAGAGTTGAAAATAAAAATAAAATTGTGAAACGGATGAAAGAAATGTTTATAGTATAAAGGAGAAAGTGGCGTGAAAACTAATCGAGTTAAGTTAACGAGCAGAAATCGTTGCTGGTAAGCTTGCGTAATATAACATCGCGTTGCTACCCCTTAAGGCTTAAGAGCTTTCCACTTGGGATAGTCTTGAATCTTAAAGTTACCTGAGTGCTGTCTTCATTCATCAGTTGTAGAGCTAGGGCACATCCCCGGGAAAACTGCAATAATTTAACGGCAAGGGTTGGATTTTTATTTGCCTCGGAATCAACGTTCGATTTTCTTAAAGCTGTCCATTGTCTTAAAGCCTCCTTGTCTTGTTCAACGCGACGCTTCAATTCTGTTAGGAGATTTTTTAAAGATTCTTCATTTGATTTTTCCAGTGTATTCAGTAGACTCTGATTATCGATTAAACGTTGTTGTACCTCACTATATTTTAAAGATAATTGTCTCTGATGTGACGCTGCTTGTACTCCACTGTCAGCTACAAAAAAAAAAAATTTATTTTATTACCATTATTCCTTATTTTAGTTAAAAAATTATTTTTTTCTATCAAAATAATTGAACTTTGTTTGAAAAAAAGGAAAGAAATTGATCGCAAAAAAATATTTTTATAATCAAATAAATTTAAAAAATTGTTTCATTTACTTTTAATGAAAAATAAGCTCTACTCTGTCAGTGACAAACTCACAATTGAAGATTATATTAAATAAAAAATAAAACGTTACTTAAAATCAATCCAATTTAAGGGATTAAATTTTACGCAGAAAAATATGGTATATACATATACTTTATTGGAATTATTTTTCAACAGATTTTAAACTTGTCGCATGTACGTCAAGTATTTTTAATTAATAATTTATCTCTCCATTAGTCCAATTTTGTAACATTACGGTATAAACGATTATTTAAAAAGTTGACGGAATCAGGACATCAAATGCGCTGAATCTTTACATTTGGCTACATTTAAATTTAAATTTATAACATAAATTTTCTTAAATTAATGCAAAATCTAGATGTTTCGTGTATATTTAAAGGTGATGTAATGAAGGCAAGAAATTAGAAAATATAGCAGCATACAAAAAAGTAAAAATTCAATGACAAAAAAAAATGCATATTATTGTTACAGTAATATTTCTTTACTATTTGTTTAAAAAATAGAAAATTATTAATATTGCCTCTGAAAAAATGTTTATTTATTTAATTTTTTTCAGGTGAAAATTATCAATGATGTCAGAAGATAAATAAACTTCAATGAACTTCATTTTTTGAACCGATGATGTCATAGAAGATAAAAAAAAACCATTCTTCAATGAACTTCAATTTGTGAACCACTGATAATTGGCTAAATTTCAAATTCAGTAAAAGGGAGGCGGAAAAATAAGGTAGGAATTAAAATAATATTAAATATAAGATTTAAATTTAGAATTATTATATTACCTTCTCGTCATATGAGAAAGTTTTTCAATTCTTTTTTTTCATAAATTATTTTTTTTTTTAATAAAAAATGATTACCTGTTGACTTTTATCTATCTAAAAAATCGTTTGCGAATTGAAATCAAAATAAATAGTAATTAATGTCTAATGAAAAAAAATTGAGATAAAAATAGATGAAACGAAAAAATAGTAAATTTTATAAAAATATTTTATGATGTATCATAAAATGGAGTGTGTTAAGAGATTTAACTGTTTTTTTTCGAGTTTAAATATTTATTTGCGCCAAACATATGCGTGATAACTGTTTTTTTTGTATAACTACGGATTTCTTTATTAGAATATTGATAGCAGGAGATTTTTTAATAAACAAATTAAATTTTCACAGGATTAATAGATTTTTGGTTAAAAAAATGTATTTTATGAAAAAAAGGATAAAAAAGAAAATTGAGTTATTTTCGTAAATCCATGTGTCTGATTTTAAATATATATATATATTGATAACAGGAAAAATCCCAAACAAAAAATTTTGTGGGACAATATGAGCCAAATGTTCTGAACGTTCAAATGAACAAAGTATTTTTTTCAATCTATAAATTATTAAAAATTATAATGTCAATGCTAAATAAAACAGTAAATTAAACAAATATTAAATTAATAACTTCTTTTAAAATATTTTAAATAATATTTTGTAATAAAATTCGTACTTAAAGAAGGTTTAAAAAAAATTTTGTTCATTTGAACGTTCAAAACTTTTGGCTCATGGGACAATCTGTGAATTTTTTGAAAAAATTTATTTCGATTTTTTTGTGATGTGGTATAATATTATAAAGAAAGAGAAAAATAATTTTATCCCAAATATTGATTTGGGTTTTTAATTATTATTTAGATGTTTTATTTATTGTTCTTTTTTTTTTGACGATATCGTCTTTAATGTTAAAATTGGCCATTTAATAGTTCTCCTTACCTTTGAGAGTGCCAGTGTGTTTCCCACAGCTTTCAAGCTTGTGAAGTGCCAACTTGTAGGCTTCTGAGCGAGCCTCTAGTTCCTCTTTGAGTGCAACTGGTAGAGGGACAAGATTTTGCGAAGTAGAGTTTTCTAAACCGGAAATCTGATTCGACGGGACCAAACCATGTTTACCGAGACCCTCGACAGCTCTTTCCAAAGCTCTTCGTCTTGCAGTGAGCATATTTTTGGCATTTGGTGATATTCGATAGAGTGCACCCAATAGTTTAGTCCATATTCTCAGATGAAAATGAACCTGACTTGATGAGATTAAATTGACAATTTTCCATAGTATTTGTTCGATTCGTAAAATTTTTCCATCTTCAATATGAAGGTCAATCAGTCTTAAATAAAGTGCCTCAAGAAGGGCCAAACTGTGGGGTAGAGTTTCTATTAAAAGGTCTATGGGGATATCCGGTAAAGCTGCCCTCAAGGTATAATGTGGCAGTCTCATAAGAAATCCTGCCGCTTCCCGATATTGCCTGCCTTCGTACAATCTCAATAATCTGAAATGAGAGATTATTTTTCTGATATTGACAAAGAGTTTCATTGTCTTGAGAATTATGTTCTAGAAATCTAATTGAAATATCGGAGGTGGGGTTTTTTTTTCCTCTTATTATTTATATCTTCTCTAAATAACGTGTGTATTAAAAAAAAATTTCAATTTTACTGTGAAAAGCCCTTAAAAAAAAAAACACTTGAAATTTTCATTCATTATTTAATATTGATCGAATTTGCATTTAACCGAATTTAGAAAATTTAGAAAGTGTTGAGAAAAAAAATTTCTTTAATTACTTTGTGGGATAAAATGCATATTTAATTTTCAATAAAATGTATATATTTTATTGAGATAATGATTTACAACTTGTGGAAATTGAATAATTCATAGTAGTGAAATTCAATTGATAGTGAGAGTTGTTAATTCATCATCATCATATAGGTAATTAATCCATCATCATCATCATCATCGTAGAGATAATTTATCAAAGTAAGAGTTCACTCGTCATATTAGAGTAAAAGTTAATTCATTAATGTTTCATAATCTTCTTAAACTTTCACAATTTTTAATTTATTTATGAAAAACTTTGGAAAAGTTTGCACATATACAGCATCCTTTTCTTTCATTAAAGAGAAAACTATTAATTTGTTATTTCAATCGTATAATATAATTAAAAATGAAAACTAAAAATTATAAAAACAATTTTTCAAATATTATTTTATTTATTCTATTGTATAAATTTTTGTAAATAAATTTTTTCGAATTCTTGTTGAAATTTCTTTTAATTTATAAAGGAAAAATAATATAATGTCACGCATTTAATTTAAAATGAAAATTTCTAATTAACATAAAATTGATATAAAATATTTCAAATGCATAATTTCTATAATAAATTAAATTTAAATTAAAATAAAAACATATTTTTAGAAGAAAAATATTTCTTTTGTAATAAATTACTTTTGGGAAATTTCAAACATTTTTGAAAACATTCTTAATTTTTTTTTTTTTTATAGCTTTCTCTCTGAATTTTAGTTAGTTTTCATAAAAAAATGTATTCTCTTGTTTCGAATTTTATTTTAATTAGAAAATGCTTCAACTTTGATGGGTGTTTTGTCGATCGATAATCACTATCAACGTGCTTTACTACTTCTCTCATTATTAATTAAATTATTTGTCCAATGGTTGTATATATATATTTTTTAGTGTGAATTGAAAAGATTTAATTATCTTTTAATTAAAATTTTCAAATTCATAATTGTGTTATTATTAATTCTGAATGTTTGAGAAAAAAAAAAGTGAAATCTTATGGAGTAGATGATCTTTTTTTGTTTTTGCTAACCTTCTGAGAGCCAATCGAGGATTTGATCCTTCATCATCTGAGGGCCACACATGACCGACTTGAAATTGTGATCCAGGTCTCCAAACCAGTCTTTGAATGGTGTTCCTGGGCCTTTCGGGCCTTATTCTCTCGCATGAATTTAGGCCCATTAATGGCGAAGTTCTTCTGCTCATTTTTATTTCTTTCTTTCTGTTCTATTTGTATTTTTTGACTTTTCACTTCCTGTGAATTTTTTTTTCCTCTTTTTTTTCTTCTTCTTGACTTTTTGAGCCTGCAGCTCTTTTTCTTCCTTCCTGTGTATATCCCTCGAGTACGTATCGCACCTACAGCTTCAGGGCATCGGCCCACTTCCCCATAAACAACTCACCGCGGATTATTCGCATAACACGTGCCACCTTTCTTTTTCACAGGCTATATTTTTCTCTCGTAATCTCGCTATATGAATCTTTTAATCTAGTTTCATCTCTTGTGTGATGAGACCTTTTTTTAAAAAAAAACACGTTTATCCCGTTTCTATAATTCTCTTGATTTTTTGATTTTTATATATATTGATTTGAAAATATTTCAACGGGAAAAAAAGAAGCCATAAAAATTCTACACTCTTAACACTTCTTGTCAAATAAAAAATTCATTTTCATCCGCTTTACTCTCGCACTTGAGTCTTATTTTATTATTTGCACTTTTTTTTTCTTTGCAAGATAACCGTCTTTCGAGGTAAAAAGTACATGAAGTTGTTTTTCTTTTTTTTTTTACTCCCTGCAATGGGACGTCCTATAAAAACATTTAAGGTATCTTTTTACTATTTTTGTCAATTTCTTTGAGTGAAAATTCTTTTTCTTTTGGTTTACATTCTTTTTTAGAATATTTATAGTTTCGTTTCTTTTGAAAGTTACTTAACGATAATTACTCCCGCGAATCTTGGCAGCCACGATGATCTCAAGACAGGAAGTTTTATAATTGTTTAACGGAAGCGCAACTTCCGGAGTCGCTATAGAGGAAACACACCGCACGAGATGTTGACTTAAATCTCGTGATAAATTGTACACAAATATATATATATATACATACACAAGACAGAATTGCGGAAACTGAGATTTAGGAGAAAATTAATCGCGGAAAGATGCTAATCAAGTTTGATCAACTGTAAAACTATGCGCAATCTCCTTATAACTTTTATTTTTGAAAATGTTTTCTAAAAATTTAATTCATCGATTATGATCCATGCGATATATTTCTTCGACGTTCAATATCACTTGTCACTATTAATTGACACTTTACACTGAATTTGTTGGCAAAAATTTGTTTGTAGGGAAAATTAGGCCTCGTTAAATTTTCAACGTTTATTAACGAGATGTGGTTCGACATGTCGACTGTTTAACCGAAAATCAGACAAGTGAGATAAACTGTAAGAGACTGTGGGGCCCCTTGTGTGATAGTAAAGGAGGGGAGGTAGGGCCTTAGTCCCGGTGAAATTTTAAGAGGGGATTTATAAAAGTTTGGGTGGGGGAAGAGGATTGCGAGAGAAAAAGTTATATAGAAAAGACAAGAGAGAGAGAGAGAGAGAGATGATGGTGAAGAGGATACATTGCATCGTCAGGCTCTCTCAGAGTGTCTGCTGAAGATGCTGATGTCGACCTACTGTCCTGCATTCCATGTGAAGTGGTCACACACGTATAGAACGCAATGACACGCACGTCTGCTCAATAAGACTGTGTATAGGCGTCCTTCGCAATTACTCCTCTTGGAATTTCAGTCATGGTATTCAATTGATCAAGAGGGAAATTCTGATTTTCTTTAGATTAATTATGAACTTCATTTTATTATAATTATATAAAGCAGTAGGTTGATTTCTTTTATATCAAAGTCAAGTGGGGAATTTATTTTCGTTTTCAATTATCTATATATACCGTTAATACCAGTTTTTTTAATTTTCATGTGACATTTAAATGAATAATTTGCAATTCTCCGAATTAATGATTTAAACAGTCATTTAACATTATTATCATTTAACTGGGAAAAAAAACAATTTGATTCAAATAATCGGTTATTTGACTAATTATCAAAATATTTACTTGAACCAAATAATTAAATAACTGTATTTTAATCAATAATTTATGTATTGAAAAAAATATCACTCAATAATTATTATAAATAAATATTTATTTAATAATAGTGAAGTAACTGATTAATATTTGAATCAGATAATTTATTTTCTAATGAATGAATTTAACGTATATTAATTTAACGACTTAAAATTTTATTTAAGAAAATCAGGGTTGCTACAGAACCTGGAAAACCTGGAGAAGTCATGGATTTTTTTAAAAAGGTCTGGAAAACCTGGAAATGTAATGGAATTTTAAAATATGGCCTTGAATTTCTGAATATTTCAGTAATTTTAAATTTTCTTGTAAAATTTTCTCCATTTACTAGGTTTTCCGTAGTAAGAAAAATTAAATTTCAAAAATTAAAAAAAATTCCCGAATTTTGCTACATTTTTTACGGATTCTAGTTTTTGATGAATACAAAACATCTTAAAACATAAAATATATATGAGAACTAAAATCGTTTTGTGCTTATTTTTTTAAAAATAATTAAAATTTAGAAAGAATGAATCTTGAATTCTTGAAAACTTTAATTAAATTATAAAATTAAATAAAATTCAATTAGATACAAATTTCTTTAATGATTCTAGCTGCCGAAATTATACCAAAAAAAAACAACTCAAAAAATTTGGAATTATTTCCTTATATTAAAAAGTGTCTTGTGAAATATAAAAAACTGGATAATATTTAAATTTTTCTGGATAATTAAATAAAATAAATTTTAGTTTTGAAAAATATTCTATGTAAAAAATGACTTTAAATTTTGTACACTTTTTTGGTAAAACTTTGACGGCATGCATTTTTTAAGAAAAAAAATTATGTTATTATTTTAAAAATTATTCAAATTTTTATGTCACATTAAAAATAATACTTTCTTGGAAAGTATTTTAAAAAAATACTGAAAAAATAACTTTTCTTCTAATTCTTCTCACAATTTTTTCAGCTTTTAAAAAATAAACAGAAAAAGATTTTAGTTTTCATAAATTTTATGCCTGAATATGTTATTTATTAAGTAATAAATAATATATAATTATTAATATTAGAATTACTAATAAAATAACTTGTTATTTATTCGAAAAATTCATATGTAAATTAACCTAGAAATTTTCTGAAATTGGTCCTGGAAAACCTGGAAAAGTCATGGAATTTCTAAATCAGATTTTTGTAGCAACCCTGAAAATATAAGTTCTGATATTTGATAATTCTGTTAAATATCAGTTCCGCGAAGTGGAAATTTAGTTAAATATTAATTCGGTTAAATGTGAGTTTGGTTAAATTGCAATTTGATTAAATAACAGTTGAATAATTAATTCCAATTCGATTAAATGTCAATTCGGTTAAATGTAATTTTTGTTAAATGTCAATTCGGTTAATTATATGATAATTCGGTGAAATATGTTAATTCGATTAAGTAGCAATTTAATTAATTAATAATTATAATTTAATTAATTCTAAATATCAATTCGGTTAAATGGTAATTCAATTAAGAAACAATTTAATTGATTATTCAGATAAATTCCAATTTTGTTAAATGACAATTCGCTTAAATGACTATTCGGGTAAAAAAAAAATTACAAATTTAATGAATAAAAAATAATAACTTTTTTCACAAAATTATAAAAAAATTATTATTTTTCTACATTTATAAAATAATAAATAGTTTAACTTGTTTAGCAAAATTTTATTAACAGTCAACGAACAAATAATTTCGATTGGTAGCCGCAATGATTAATAATTTAATTAATTTGTTTTTGCTCATTATATCTGCAATGCATTTATATTGTGAATAATTATTAAACCGACATTTTATTAGGGAAATATGGTTTCATATATTCATTGAAAGTTGGTAAATGAAACGCATAAATAAATTGGTACTCGCGACAATATGATAAATTTTACTAATTATAGAATTATGTACTTGATATGATATAGTATTTCTATCTGGGTATTTAATATTTCACGATCGTTATTTGATAGTGAAATAATAATCAAATGCAAATAGACTGGAACACTCATATTCATAACGTTTAAATTACTAACTGTGAGTTCCAATAAAAATAATATCAAATGTCCTACTAAATAGTTATTAAAAAAATATTTCTCTATTTCTTGTCACTTTCTCTGAATTACACTTTTTTCTTTAGTTTTTTTAAAAAATTTTTTAATCGAAATAATAATTAATTAATTAAAAAATATGAAAAATTTATAATAAGAAGAATAGATTTATTGCACTCGTAAAGTATTTGACATAATTCTATTGTTAAGAAAAGATAATTTATAAAAATTACCAGTAAAGATGGCTTTATATATACGTGTCTTGCTTTCATTATTAAAAAAAATGAAGTTTATTTCCGTTAACAATAAAAAATAGAACTTTACAATATAGAATATAGTTTAAACTGCAAAGTTACCTTCACGGAGGAAAGTTTTATTACTTTTTTGACAGATAAATAGTATGAAATATGTGCAAAACTTCAACCAACCGACGTTTTTATTACACTGAAAAAGTTGAGAACTTGTAAATTTTCACTTATTTGTGAAAATAAAATATGTAGCGTTAAATACGGTAATGAATGAGGGAAATATATATATATTTTTTCATATTTAGATAGGTATTAAAATTTTTATTTGATATAATTTAATTAAAATTATAGAAATAGGATAGTAATGAAATATTTGTTCAACGAAAATGTAAAACTTCAAAAATTTCGTGTGAATTTATTGATATATATATATATATTTGAATGAAAAATTATAACGGAAAGAAACTATTTTCAGCAATTTTTTTTTGTCTTTAGGGAATCGCATTTACTTTCAAATCGATAGTTCATTGAATTTCTGATAAACCACACAGGCTGCTGGATGCAAGGCACGCAAACTTCTTAGCCATCTAATCTCCAACTGACTCTATTATTCATTGCACTCTTTTTTTCACGGCTTGAAATTGAGTTTTCTGCCTTCCTCTTTTCGCATATATTTGAAAATTCGTTCGTGCAAAGGTGTTAAGTCTAATGAATTTTTGGCCCAATTTGTTTTCTCTTTTCTTTTCTTTTTTTCTCATATTGACTAAATTTCTGATCAAAGAGAAAAATTACTATGGTAAAAAATAATTAACTATTTTAGCGTTGATATTTTTCTTTTGAAGTTATTATTTATTTTTTTTTTTTAATGTTGTCATTATTGTGGCAAACGAGAACAAAAACGTAAAGAGGATTTTGTTATACCCAACTTAGGAGAAAAGACGGGGTTTTCCGGTTACTAGGAACTCAAAGGCTGAATTTAATTTAGAAAATTGTCATTCCCTCTGGACTTTTATTTGTTGCTGGACTTTTGTGCTTCAATTTAAAGGGGTTGCTTTTTAAAGTTCTTCAAAAGCTTGAAACTATTTTCAAAAAAAAAAAAAAAATTTTTCTAAAAGGAAAAACTTTTTAATAGACTTGTATGAATATATCATGATTATTAAAATTTGGAGAAAATTCCTTTTTACTATAAAATTATATAGGGTTTTGTTGGAATGAGAGAAAAGTGAAAAGGGCACACTTAGTCATCACCTACTAGTACTATATAAATTATTAATCACTGAGAACATATATTGAAATTGGCAATTTCTATCTGTCATTCATTCACGTTAGCTACATACGTAATTGCAAACTTTCTACGATAAGCACTCGATCAACTGGCTTTCGCTTTGCGAAAACATCTTCTTGATAATATAACATGTATAATAAATTTTTTAAAGATCCAAAATTTCACTTTCCTCTCGTCTTTTCTAATTTCTTTTTTATTTTTATTGCAAATAAAATGCAATGCTGTAAATTTAAGATTCTCACAAGATTTTAAGAAATTTAGACTTACAAAAATAATATCTGTATTAAATGGGGACAGTAATGAGATTTCACATAAGAATAGAACGAATATTTACAAGTTTGTGGTGGTCGTAGTCGTTAAGCGCCTTAGGTTAGATTATGAGTTTGGGGTTCGATCCCCCTTGGGGTTCAAATTTTAATTTAACTATTAGAGTTAAGACGTGTTTAGAAGTTAGTATTAGCAATATTAGTTTTATTAATTGTTTAATTAATATTAACATAGTATATAAAAAAATTATTTTATAATGTTAAAATTATGTTTTAATTAACAAATGAATAATAAATATACTCTTTTCCCTTGATGGTGAATTGCTCAGTATATAATGTGGCCACGAATATTTACGAGTAGCATTACAGTGTATTAGGAAAGTGGCGGTAAAGGTGGATGTCTTTAAGGAACATGGTAAGAGGATTGCACATGATATCTCTAAGGATCCGTTTGCAAGGATCCCAGCATCCCTTTACCATTATATTGTTATCTGATGAGCGCTCAACTTCCTTACGATATATATAAGATAACTAAATTTTTTCTCCATATCTACATTTCGATTTCACTGCTATCGACGTTCCAATTTTCATTCTCGAATTTATGGATTTTCCAATTTTTATTTTTCCTCGTCACAAAAATGTGATAAAGGAAGTCATCATTTTAAAAAATTTTTGTTTTATTTTCTTCTACATTTTTCGAATATTTCAAAATCAAAATTGGTAAAAAGCAGTTTTCTTTGCGGGTGAAAAAAAAAATGTTTCCTACAAACAATATTACAAATTTTTTTTCAAATTAATTATTGGTGAATATTTTACAGTTATTTCCATTTTTTTTACATTGCCAAGGAATTTCTGTCTGATTCAATGAAATGCCTTTTGTACCGAAAAATATTATTTGTTCGAGAATAAAATTTCTATTGACGAAATGAATTCACGTTTTGCAAAAGCATCCTAGAAACACAAACAAATGGCTTTTTATCACTGAAAAATATTTTTCTCTGTGTGACATTTGTCAGGCACTAAATTTAGAATTAAATTTGTCACACAATTTTTAAAAGGTTCAAATGAATTGACATTGTATAAAATTCAAAGAGACGTGCGTTAAAAAAAAGAGGTCTCGTGTTTTTTTTTAACTCACGTCTCTTAATAAATATATGAAAATATCGTGTAAGTTTCTTTTTTTTGGAAATAAATCTCTGTTAATAAAAAAATAGTATAATTATAAAAAAGATAGCGCGTGGAGAAAAATGCATTGAAAAGACAGCTTAATTTTTGCCTTGAAAATCATTTTTCTTTTCACTGTCGGTAACACAATATTTACCGTATAGGTTATAGTAAATTTGTTTCGTTTCGAAAAATTTTTCTTTGCTGAACTTCTGCTCGTGACATTCAGTGATGAATTATCGTACCGGAAAAAAGTGACCTGTTGAAATCAATATTTTTGTAAGAGAGTTATTTTTTCTTTTTTTTTTTTTTAACAAAAAAGTTGTTAAGAATTCAGAAGATATTTAGTCATCTATAAGTCAAGTTTAATGCCAAGGGAAAATTTCTTGTTTAGTAAACATATATATATATATATATATATATATATATATATATATATATATATATATATATATATATATATATAAGAAAAGGTCAGGAGTGGAATTATTGTTCAAAGACTCTCGAGACTGAACATTAAGGTATACAGTAGTATTTATCGAAAAAGTCGATGTCAGCGAGTTCGTATAGAAATTGTATATAGAAAGCTTCTTATAAAGAAGTGAAGATGATACAAATCCTCACTCTGTGAGTTAGCGACGTCCGACTAACTGGAGAAAGTCTTCAGACGACCTCTATTAGTTTCACTCGCCTTTGATTATTTCAGACGTTGAATGGTTTATTTGTTAATGAAAAAAAAATTACTCTTCTTCCTTTAAAACGAGATAGATTTTATATTACAGCAAAAGTATTGGTATTGCATATGGAATTTCTGCAGTAAACTTGAAATTATATCGATACTTGTTTTATATATATTATATATATGTATATATTCTTTCGAAGGTAAATGATTTGAATCATGTATAGCTGGCAAAATGTAGGTCTCTCTTCTTATACAACCAGATCTGGTTCAAGATAAGGAAGAAATGTAGAATTAAATCAATCTGGAAATATAATTAACTCAACAAGCAGTGAATTCATGTCAATTTCTTTTTCTTCAAGATATGTGAAGATTTGAATTGTAAAATAATTTCCCGTTTTAAGAAAATTTTAATACTTTTCTTCCATTTCCGTTTATAATTTAAACGAGCATTCAAAAAAATTTTTGTATCAATTTTAGTAAACAGTTTTGAGTCAAATACATTATCCATGGCATGTGGTTTCTTATTTCCCAACTTTTCCCATATGGATTTTCCCAAGTGGTGGATTTATCGAAATTGGAGTAATAAATCTGCAATAGTCATCCAATTTCTGCAAGGATGCGAAAATCGTACATCATTTTCCCCCCCCCCAAATGTTTTCCTTTGTTATTGATTATATATTTTGATTTTTTTCAAAATTAAATTAAAATCTGTCATTTATAGAGATAATAGTTTTATGGAAATATCTATTTACCTATATATAGAAAACGAAATGTGTGAGGTTAAAAAAAAAATTTTTTTTTACTGTGTTTCACATGCAACAGCATGTTTGAATGCACACGTGCACGTAAACTTTCTGCACTCGCATGCAATAGATATTTGTAGTTACTTACCCAGTTTCGTGTAAACAACATTTCAATTTGTTAAACAGAATAAAAGTGACACACTTATTTTTTTTTGAAAATTCTATTTCTTGAGAATTAATTAAAATTTTGTGTGGGTTAAAAAGTTGATTTAATTGAAACCATTATAAATTTTGCGATGTTAGAGTTTATTAATGACCCGGTGAATCAATAATCAATAAAGTTGTTGAGTGACAATGTATCACCGTTAGAGAAGACATTAAACTGAGTGAGGCTACAATAGAGGTGAATGAACGGAAAACATTGAGGCCTAAATTACATGCATTTTCATCATACATTCTAAACATTTCGTGAATTTTAAAATCTAAAATTTCTGAACATTGTCAAGTGATGAAATAGTAATAAAAACAGAAACAGTAAGCAATTCGTTTGCCTTGGGCGATTATTTGAGGATATATAAAGTGGAATCGAAGTGTATATATATGTATGTACATAGACTGGATATGGATTTAGGACCTTCAAAGGTATGGGGTGAGACTGAGAAAGGTATAGGAGTGATCTTGTGTCTCCACCGGATGAACACAAGACAAAGTAGCCAGGGGTTGTTGATTCCCAAGGGAATATCATGTTGCACAATGTTCACAGTGTGCAATGCCTACAGGTTGCTTACTATCTCTAACCAGAATGACCTCCATTCGGTGGCAGATTTCACCTCCCACGTCCATACAAGTCCATAAACCGACTGCACATGGACAAATAACCATAATAATCCATTGCATCGTGTATAATATGAGAAAGTCTTTTAAAATTTAGAAATAATGTGCATTTCATCTTCATTAATTTATTGTATATACCTCTTGGGAAAAGGTATTTTTATTTTTAACGTGACAACAATGTTAACTGTGGCATTTTGTTTCGAAAATTTTTTAATTTAATTCTTTAGAAATTTTTTTCAGTTTATGTTTAAGTACAAAATAAATACTAAATAAATCTTTAATTTTCTTTTTGCAGATTCTATCCCGTACGTGGTGTCACGTACTTCAAAGATAAAGGCGAAAGTAAAAAAGGATATCTTGAAGGACACAGAATTCTCCAGTTGCAGACTTTTCTCGGTCTATTTTTACGGTTAATTTTCATATTTTCTGAATGGAAATTTAATTTCAAAGTAGCGATCTCCAAGGGCTATTTAGTTTGAAAGAATCTTCTCGAAGCTGAAAATTTGTCATTAAGGTAAATATTTTATTTTATTACAAAAAATTTTGTTGTAGCATTTTCTTTTTGATGAGTAATTTTTCTAATGTAAATTATTGAAATTTATACAGAAAGCTTAAATGCTTTTTATTATTATTATCCGGAAATTGAATATGAATCAAACATAATCAGAAATAAACTATTTTATTATTCAAATAACGATCGGGAAAATTACATTTTGCAGAATTAATGAATTTTCTTAAACAGGGAAAGCAATTTGCTGAACGCAGGGAATATTATACAAAAGACTCATTAATAGCTCAAAGAGCCAGAAAATTTTTCCATAGTAACCAATATTAAACATATGTATATAATATTTCGTAGTTAGTGGAGATTTATCCTTTTTTTCTGATTTAAAATAAACACCGAAAAAAGAATTTGAATTTTTTTCCGAATAGGGTATATATGTTTACTGTATTAAGAAAACATGGGATTAAATAATAATGAAATTTTGTATTCTATAATCATATGGGATTAGATGAGAATCTTTAATAGAATAAAGAAGTAAGCGTTATAGAGAGATGCTGTGTAAGAGAAATGATAATAGAGAATGGAAAAATGATAAGGGAAACCAACAAGAATATGCGCATACAATTTTGGGAAAAAAATTTATGTATGATGAAAGTTGGAAAATTTGTAGACAAAATTCCCTAAGAAAATTTAAAGGTAAAATATTTATTCGGGTATGATTATACTTTTTTTGCCTCTCTTTGTCAATTACATATAGAAATTTGATATTTTATGAAATGTGAAAATTTTTTTATAAGGTACTGCAGTAGTTTCATTAGTATATAGTTCAATATAATACACTGAAATCAATCTGTCATTCTGTCAGAATGACAGTAATATTTTTTACTTCACTTAGATCAGGGTTCTCTATTTTTATTTTTCCCCTTGTATTTTCTTCAATTCAAGTCTCTGTTTTAAAGCATTTTTCGGACCAATTTCTCTTGGGGAAGCTCCTAAATCTCACAAAGAAAGAAGATCGTGACTTTTTCATTTCTTTTTCTCATTTTTCACGATCCGATGAGCCTTAGATTTTTCTTTTTATGAGCACACTGTGGATTATTGTTATTAATTTTTCTGGACATAGTATTCTTCTGAATTGATATTGTTTCTGAAAAAAAACAAAGCAAACAAAATAAATTGTTAATTATAAAATCTATATACAATCAGGCAATTTAATTGAGAAGTTTAATTTTTCAAATACTTGTTATATTTGAACAAAAGACCTCGTTAAATCAACAGATTTCATTTTCCATTTTATTTGTGAAAATTATCTACTTGATAATTTTCAGTACAAATGTGTATTGCATTAATTTAATGTAAATTGTTTTAAACTGAATTAAACTGAAACCTGTTAAGTTTATTATTTAATTTTATACATCTATCGACATGTAGCATATATGTATTCCAATCAGTTTAAACCATTTATTATTAAATGTCACGTATCGTATTTATATATTAAAAACTCAATTCAAGTTTATAATGTTATTAAGGAGAAAAAAAAGCTTTTGTCGCGAAAAGAAAATGAAATTAGTTTAAAGTATTTTCCACTTGATTGTGTTAATTTTCATTATCTGGTGATTTTGTATATGTGACGTTCCATGAGGAAAGGGACCTTAGCTGCAATAGACGCATTTTCCAGAAAAGGTATTTAAAGTAGAGCGTCCCTGATTGGTTGAGACCCTCCATCGAAAATCAGCCCCACCACCTTACTACTACATCGTTCCTACAGCTCACGCTTACGACAAGTATACTAGTGTAGAAGTGGTGGGGATGGTTTCTGTAGTCCGTGCTGGAACGCGATTAACATGGTCATGATTAATGCTTTATAACAAAAAAACTAAATAGAAAAGTACAATTTTTAACTTTTGTATCTGAAAGAGCAACTCAAGATCTATCGACTGATATCAAAAACTCAATTTTCATTTTTTTGCAGCTAAGGTCCCTTTCCTCATGGAACGTCACATATAATATAGTGAATCGTGACGAGTATAAAAGCATGCCAATATACATTGACTTTATCTCATTATTATAATATATATATATATGATATAATTTATCTAAAGAGGATGACTATACAATTTATGCAGATGTTTATTTATGAACGCATCCAGTTTACGGTATTATTTTCATGGTGTATTGTATATTTGGAGAGAATTCAGTAAAGCGCAGACAAGGGCCAATGTAAATTGTGGAGCATGGCATGTCGCGGCAATACTCACACTATAGCATAATAATGACAAGAGAGCAAACCGCGTTCTGCACTTTTGGTACAGGATAGGTGGTGCTCGCAGCTTCCCGAGAGTTCGTCAAAGTATATATATATGTATATGTATGTGTATACCTGTTTTGCTTCCATTCGTTCATGTTTTCGCGTTTAATCGACGATTTCCACAATTGGTACCACACATTGAAATTTTAAACGAGGCACGCGAATTAAAAATATTCTGATTAATAAAATAAAAACAAAGATTTTGAATTTTCTCTCATTCGGAAACTAAAGATTAATTTATCAAAACTGTGCATATATGCTTTTTAATTAATTAAAAGATTCTTTCCGTGAATTTTGAAAATTATTTTTTAATGAGTTTTAGAAGAGTGGTTATACCGGTGTTATGTATATACAACGGAAAATAGGTTGTATCGGAAATTTTAAATTTTGTACATTTTTCATGAGCCTATGCGGATATTATGGAGGCATATCTAGTCATTATTTTCAAAACAAAAAAAAAAAATATTATTTATTCATTAAAGTACAATAATTCAGAAATGTTTTCTTTAGAATCGATTTGAAAACAATTTGAAAGAGATAGAACATTTTGAAGCCCCGCCCTTTCGATTGGGAGTTACACGGTATTCAAGGTCGTAGAGGCAATGAATTCTTTGCATAGATAGCAACAAACAGATTTTGACCTTTTATTGAAGGAATAGTAATAAAATTATTTGATTTGACCAAACAGATTTTACTAACTCGGACTAAATATTTTTCTCAGTAATTATATAAATAGCGAGGAAGGGAATTGTATTAACATTAACAAAAATTATTTTTTTACTTTGTTTCAGGGCTGAAAAGGATGGCACTCACTATGTGAACATTAAGTGCACTTCGAGGAGAAAATAAAGGATCAGTAATTTATTTTGCATTCGGGAGTGCGTTCATTGTTAATTGTCTATTTTTTCAAATCCAAACAGAAATCTAATTTTTTTTTTTAGTTGAAATTTACCCTCGGGAGTGTTCGAATTCTTTAAAACCGCGATCGTTAAAAAAAAGTATGTCAATTTTCTTTTTAGTTTCTGTTTGGTAATTAAAGTAAAGTAATTTTTTATTTAGTTTCAAAATTAATTTCGGGAGTGTTCGAATTCTTTTAAACCGCGATCGTAATTTCTTTTTGTAATTTTTGTTTATAGTTTTATAATTTCGGTAGTGTTCGAAAGTGCAATGGATGTGATATTTGAAAGCAGCTCCAGAATAAAGATTGATTACATGTAAGTTTTTGAATATTTCTATAACATTTGGTCTACCGGCGTGGAATCCCTACCATAATTAAAATCCCTCCTAGAAATCGCACATCTACTCTTACAGTCCAAATAGATGCATGTAAGGAGAATCTGTAGTGATTTCCCCACTTGGTGCCCAAGGTTGTGTCCCTTCCTTGAGATAAACTTATTTTATTTCTATCTATGAAAGTGATTTAAGGAAATACATACAGAACTAAATGTAGACATTGTGATTTAGAGAAAATTAGTATTATTGAACAATAACAATTATTTTTGAAATTAATTGATATAATGGTAAAGCAGATTCAATTTATCAAAAATTAATCTTCTCCTTTGATAATAATGTTATTTGATTTATGTTATTCTTTACTGTATAAACTTATACTGAACTTTAACCATTATAGCGCCTACCTAGATTTAGTTAATATTTTATATTGTTACTTACGTAACTATTAGAATTTAGGAGTACGGGAATTTTTAAAATCATTTTTATAACTGATAATTTATATTACTTTATTGCTTTATCGGTATAAATATTTGGATAGGATCCTAAAATGATGAAATTGTAAATTAAAAAAAGAATTAAAATTTCTTTCTTAAAATATTATTATTTTTGATTATAAAAGTTTAGCTTCTTTTATACATATTATGTGAAGGCAAAGTTATTTCAATTGATCCGCTCTCCCCTCTTTTGCTTGATGGGAAAGTGTTTGTCTTCGACATTGTTTAATGACCGGGAGTTAAAGACTTTCAATGTGGAAAGTAGCAATTTTTCAAATAGTCTGAGGAATCCGATTTTCACCGTCGTGACGCGGAAGAGACACACAAGACTAAGTGTGGGTGACCTGTTGGTGTGAGGATAGATAATGAAAAGCGGATTTTCCCTTGGCTCCTGTCGAAGTGCCTTGCACGTATTTATATATTACATTTTACATGTATAGAGTGCAAGTAAACACGCGCGGTCGTTTACGTGCACATATACCAATGTTTTATGGTAGTATTGTAATATTAGGACGAGAGGTGATGTTGGTGCAAGTATAGGGTATATTCTATCGATCACATGTCCGCGACACATAGAACCCCTTTTACCCCTCTACCCTTGAACTCAACTCCTGCTATGTGGCGGCCTATTTCTATATACAGTTTTAACCCGGAGAAGAATTACCTTTTATACAGAATATGGTAGAAGCGTCGCTTTTGATTTTCAAGAAGGTCCATTTCCTGATCGATAAATAAACTTGATTAATTTATCTCGCCTGCATAAGCAACATTCGTCAAGTTCTTCGTCTATGTTTCTAATTTTTCAGCTAAGTTGTGTTTGTCAGTTTCTTCACTTGCACGCGATATTACTGCGAGAGATTTCTTTTTCCCCTTATTAATAGGTTTTTGTTTTCTATTTTCCAAAAAATATATATATTAATATTGATGATTTGTGCTTTTTGGAATCAAATATTTTTTTTTCCATTATAATAGAAAAATTTCAAATTTTCTGATCATATAGTTAGGGTAACTAAATAAATGGAAAATTTTCCTCTCTTTCATTTGTCAAGGCAAAATTTATTCCATACAATTAAATCCGAATTTTAATTCATTTATGTTTCATATTTATAAAAATTGGCTTGATTTAATATTATAGTTAATCAGATTTCAGAATAAGATAAACATATACATATTGGAAAGAAAATTAGTAGAGAAATTAATTTTATTGCAATAAAAGATGTGAAATAATTAAGTAAAAGTATTTGATCCAGTTTCGACAATTCAGCTACTTATCTGTGCAATAAATTTTTAAGAGTTGACGTCCTGAAATAATAAAGGTAGTTTCTAATGGTGACTTTAGAAAGATAGAAGATTGTAATAACGGTATTTTGTATAGAGGAAAAGTTTTAATATCAATTATTATCAATAAAAGGTAGTTTGACTTGCATCGTAAAATTTCGAAAAAAAATTTCAATAAATCGCTTGGTATTAATCAAGATCTATTAATGCTCGTTAGGTTCACTTTACGTAAAGTTTAACACCATATATCTTGACACTACTTTCATATTTTTTTCGCTAATTTCTTTCTTTCATTTCTCTTTTGCTCATATCGTATCGTACAATTTTATTTGCTAATTTTTGTTTCTAATTGTGTTAATAATTAATCGCTAGTGTTAAAAATGTAAAGAAAGTAAATAAAAAGTTTTTTACAACTCTTTACATAAAAGCATTTTTAGTAAAAATTTTTTCGATTTTATTTACAAACGATAATATTTTGAATATCGAGTAGACTATAGGTATCTTTACATGTTGCAGGAATGTTGGATAAAAGCTGATGTTGGTAAAGGGGTAGGGAGGTAAAGTCTCTGCCCTCTCACCTCACAGCCGACTAGTTTTTCGTTAGCTCGGCGTCCCGTGAAATCCGTCACTCTGTCAGCCTCCGACGAGGGTTGCAAGATTCTCGGTGAATTTGTATTATATACGTGTTATACAATACATTGTTATAAATCTACTATTATTTAAATTATCAGGTATTATTACCAGCACAATAGTATATGACAATTGAATTAAAATTTAAATATTTTTTTTTAATAAATTTAATTTATTTTGTTTAATTTAGAAAGAAAATTAAATTTAAGTGATTAAAATCAGGATATTTATCAAATTTTATATTATCAGTACGTGTCGACTATTTGTGGAAATTGTCATTCACTAGCCAGAAGGCCTTTATTTGACACACTGGTCCAAACTATATACTAAAAGCGATTCTAGATTCTCTAACAATTAAAATACCCTCGAGACTCTTTGCACTCTCTGCGCGCTTTAAACACATATACTGACAATTTTCAGTACTATTACAAAACTGTGTCATGTGCCTTTTATTTCTGCGGATAACTAAATTTCAGCCTGTCTTTCCATTCCATTTAACGATGAATATCTTCAATATTTTTTTTCACCTCCATTTTCCACAGTAGCTATATATATATATATATATATATATATATATATATATATATATATATATATATAAAACTAGGAAACAGTAGTTCAAATAAAAAAATGACATTTAAAAGTTTGATAGGTCAGGATAATATGAAAAACAATAATGGCTTATTTTTTGTATATGAAATGAAACTTTTAATTATTAGTGAATTTTGTACATTTTTAAAATTTTAATTTCCGAAAATATTAGTTTCTATAACTTTTTTTTTTTGCTATTACATTTTAAATGAAAAAAAGTAAAACAATTTCGTACAATATTTTTTTTTTTTGTTGATATATATTTTGAGTGTATAGATTCTTGTTATGTTTGTTCTTGTGTGTTATAGAAGTGATTGAACTTAAATCGTGAATTTCTGGAAAGTCTGTTAAACTTGTTGTTGCCCAATGTCCAATGGGTTCAATCGACTTTTGTATTTGTCGAACGTGCCCGAGGGAAAATCCTCTCAAGTTCTTGTTCTTCTTCTTCTTCTTCACTCCCTTGCTCACAACTTGAAGAGTTACCGCCAATCATAGTCAGAGACTTAGGGAACAATTACCAAAGAAGGGTAGGGGCGGGGGGGGGGGGGGCGCGAAACGAGTTGAAGAAAACAAATTATTGAAATTTTCGAACTTTTCAGATAATTTTACAATTCATTTGATTTCATTTGACAGTTACTTGGATTAGAGTTAAGTCTCACTTTAATAACTTTTATCTCTGCAAAATTACAGATTAAAACTTTTAAGATTAGTTTCCCTCACAATGGTATTTTAAATGAAAAATATTCCAATTGTACAAAATTCAACAGTGATTTCTCATTTCTCTTCGCAGTACTAAAAAAATTTTGTAAAGTCTAATTTTTGGTTATAAGGATTTTTTTTACATCAAACTTATGATAAAAATCTGTTGAATAAAAATTATATTATTAATTATTTGAAATAGTTTCCAAAAGATAGGGTTTAAAGTTATTTTTTTTTTGTCGCTTTTGATTGCACTATGTACCTATGCATAAAAAATCGATTTTGTGCATTTGCATGTACCTCTTTGTCATGCTTTCGCGTTGGAGATTTAATGTAAGCGGTTTGGGCTTGTGACTTTTTATGCTTTTTTGTAACATTTATCCTCTAAATGCTTTTCTGGAACGAGACATAATAAACGTAGTGTGGTGGACGCATTTCTCAGTTAACGAAGAAATTGAAGACTATATATATAGTACTGCGAACATTCAGTAAATAAACTGTACAATGTAATCATTTCAAATGGCTCTACCATTGCCTTTGCGATGTCCTCTATTTTTCTTTTACTCACAGCATTCTTTATATATGTAATGGTCAGTATATAATTACTTTGCTGGAAAATGTCTTCAAATTTTTTTTTTTTTTGTTATATTTTTAGTTTTCTTTTTATCTCTTTGCTCTAATTAATATATTATTTATTATATTTTATGAGAAGAATAATTTTCGTTTTATTTGCATAAAAAAAATAAATTGCTTCTTCATAGTAATTTATCAGTTTTCCACAATTTAATTTTTAGTTTGATTCTTTGTGATTATAACTTTGCCCGTCAGAACGTAATTGTGACGAGTCCGTCGCTTCGTTCAAGTATAAGTTGTGAACAATGTGTACAGCGCGTTTTCCAAGCCACTTATCGCTTCTGAAACTTCTTCCAGTACTTGCGAATAATCCTTCTCTCTTCTTCTCTCTATGAAACTTTCCCTTACCAATTTCATTCTTTTTCACTATCTCTTTGTAACTTGGGCATTATCTGAAATCCTCTCTATCCTCGTTTTCTCTCCCATCAGAAACTTGGGAACAATGGTTACCCGTAAAAGGTGACAGACGCTCACCCACGTTGTCCTCTGTCTCTCTCTCTCTCTCTCTCTCTCTCTCTGCAGTTACTGTATTTCTGTAATAAATATCTATCGAGTGTCATTGCGAGTTTCATGTTGGATATTTTTCTTCCAGCAAAGTCGGAATGAAATATGTCCAACGTTACTCAATAGTTTTTCATCCATGGTATATAGCAGAT